AACTGAAACCACGTATTTACATAAAAACTTGTACAAAAGTGTTCTAGCAGCATTATTCTCAAGAGCTAAGAAGAAAAGAATCCTAATGTCAATCAACTGATGAATCGATCAATGACATGATCTGTCCATACAGTGGAATGTTATTCAATCCGAAGAAGGAACGCAGTACCAACACACACTTCAACCTGTAGCCTTGGAAACTCCATGCTAAGTGGAAGGAGCCAGACACAAAAAGTCACTAATTGTGCAACTCCATTTATAGGAAATGTCCAGGGACTGTGGTAAAAGGGGAATCTCTAGAGAAGGACAGAAGCTTTGTGGTTTCCTGGGACTGGGGAGAAGGATTGGGAGTGAAGACTCGATGGCATGGGCTTTCTTTTTGGGTTGAGAAAAATGTTCTCAAACTACAGAGCGGTGATGCTTGCATGGCACTGCGGATATACAAAAAGCTACTGAAAAAAAAAAAGCTACTGAATTCCATACTGTAAAATAGTTAAAATGGGAAATATTTTGTTATATAAATTTTACCTCAATTTTTAAATCCCTGAATTATACACTTAAAATGGATGCATTTTATTACAAATAAATGACTTGGCCTCTCAATGGAGTTTGGCTCTTCTTGGCCATTTGGTCTTTCCCATTAGTCTTAGATTCAACTTTTCAAATTCCCCCAAATAACCTACATTCACTCAAATTAATGTTGGTTCTAAATGACAGAAACTTCACATGATGGTGATTTAAAGCAGAAAGAAGTTTATTTTTTCTCTCTGTTCCTCAAACAAGTCAAAGGCTTTCAGGGCCTTTGCACACTCTCCGTACCAGAACCTCTCTCCTCACACAGCCAGTCCCTGCTGACCTCAAGGTCCCTAAATGTGCCCTTCTCAGAAAGTCTTCCCCTGGCCACTGGGACAGAGAGGCAGGCTCCCTCTCCTCTTCCATACCACTCCTCATTATTTTCTTCACCATGTTCCCCAACTGAACACTTTCTCCTGGAAGGTACTACTCCAAGGGCCGTAAAATCCTTATTATTTCTCATTATTCTAATTTTAAGTTGTTTCGCCAGCCTGTGGCCTGCTCCTCTCAGCAGAATATTAAGCTCCAGGACCACATCTGTTTGACTGTGACTCTCTTGTAGTGTAGACCTGGCACAGAGGAGACAACAAACATAACATGCCTGCTCGAAATATTATTTTCATTCTATTTAAAATTATGGACATGAATGAGGCGATCATCTCAAAGGAGGACAGACTTTATTAGGAAACAGAATTATTAGTCTTTACCAGATAAAATAAAAGTTTTTTCCCTGAATCTCAGAAAACAAGGATACAGACTCAGTCTCTAGCTTCAGGGAAGCAGACAACCTCCCTTGTGACCCTGGGTAAGAAATCTCTGCCATTCACACTCTCTCACCTTTTCTCCATGTACCTATTACACATGGGGTGGCCACATATTGTCCAAACCGGACCCTTCTGAGAGATAAAGGTGAGAAACTGGATATACAAACAAACAATAGCCAGACTACATATAAAAGCAGAACCCTGACTTACAATCTGCAGGATCCAGCCTAGGAAGCCAGCCTGCTACCTGAAAGTAGTCAGGCTTGTAGAATATCAGACCATTCCTCTAGCAAATAGCCCAGAAGGCCAAAAGATACATCCTAGAACAACTGGCCCCAGATGGCCAGGATTCCACTAGTAACTCACAGCTTCCCTGGTTTTGTCCCAACTTCCAATTTGAGGACCAACCAGAGCCAGCCAATCCACTCCCCTAACTCACCACACTAGGATGCCCTGCTTCTAGTTAGCTTCCAGCCAACAGCCTCCAGCCAGGGCATCCCGAGGAGCCATCCCTGTTCCAGCCACAAAGCTCAGCCGCTCTTCTGCCTCCATTGAGTCCCTCCCAGAACACGAGTGACAGTGGTGGCCACCCTTGCTATCGTGAGCTCTGAATAGCCTTTGCCTGTTCTCATTGGGGTGATTTTCATTTATTTCCACAAATTACTATACTGTTAAGAACTATGCTGCATCAAGAGGTAAAAATCGGGACTATTCTGAGTCCAGACTTGATCACCCAAATGATAGTGCTAAAATTAGCCTAGAGGCTGTTTGTTAGAGAAATCAAGTCTGGGAGGGCAGGGCGAAGGTTGTGAAGAAGGGGAAATGTGCCGCTACCACTAGGTGGGGTTAGGAATTAAGGAACAGAGGACATTTCAATGATCGCAGGAAGATCCTCAGGTCCATGTGCACTCAAGCTACTAGTCAGTGACTTTTTGGTTGGGATGTATGGTACAGTAAAACCTGAATGCTTGAATTGATGGAAAGTTGTCTTCTGGGCAATAATTACTGAAAGTAATTCCAGCAGAAAATGTTCAAGCATTCCATTATTGATACCTAGTATTCACTTACTTTCAGTTATTGTCAGCCATACAAAATTTTTTAAAAAGATGGAATGCCTGGGTGGCTCAGCGGTTGAGTGTCTACCTTCGGCTCACAGGATCCAGGATGAGTCCCGCACTGGGCTCCCTGTGGGAAGCCTACTTCTCCCTCTGCCTATGTCTCTGCCTCTCTGTGTCTCTCATGAATAAATAAATCCTTAAAAAAAATTTTTTTTTAAAAGAAAGAGTTTAAAATTCTAGAGCGTCAGAGTATTAAATTTCTTAATAAAATTAGAGTCGGCAAGAATATGGTCAATAAAACTAACGAGTGAAGATGGCACATTCTATTTCCCAGATTTAAAATGCTCAGTGCTTTTCATGTTGAAACACTTGTGCATATTATTACCTTAACCAAAATATTTTTTAAAAAAATACATTTGTAACCCATGATACATGATAACCCATGATATAGATAAACAGTAAGGAGAAGCAAGGACTGGTTTGTCGAGGTGCTGTATACTTTCTTTTCCTTGAGGTTCATAAGTGAGGCCCCTTTCACTGACCCTTGTCCTTGTACCACACTCCCATTTGTCACTAGAGATTCTTAGACTGGACACATGACTTTGATGATCTCGAGGCAAAGAGACTGGTGATCCCCTTTAGCTTAAACTTGAGGGAAAAAAAGAAAGAAAAAGAATGTCAAAGTGACAACAGCAGACCATTAAACCAAGTGTGGGGAACTTCTAAACACTAAGGCCTTTGTGAATGCACAGGTCAGGCACCCACGAGCCAATCCTAAAGGTAGAATAGTGTCCTACGACAAATTACAGACTCACAAACTAGCCTGCTTTCTGTCCGTTGTGATGCTGCTGGGCTCTTCAGCCCTTCATCTTTATTCTATGTGGTACATTCAGCATGCACACAATTAAATTACATTTAAGCGGTTATTAGGCATTATTTATGCTAATTACTGCAAGAAGTCTTTGCTGCTGCTAAAGTTTGATATAATCAAGTACATAAATACTTAACCTAATAAGAAAAGATGTCATAAAAAGGTACAATTATCTTTTTTTTTTTTTTTTTTTTTTTTTTTTTGCTCTTCCCTACAAAACTCAAGGGCAGGGCAGGGACTGAAACCGGTGAGAACTCAATAAATGTTTGTTGAATATTCATGCAATGGGCAGAGATTTTAACCCAGGGAAATATGGGGAAAGGCCACATCGGAGCTGGCTAGCTAGCTAGTTTTTCAAAAGTCATAGAGCTGCGGGTACCCAGCAGCTTCAGTAACTGTAACCCTGGGAGCAGGACTCCCACCTCCTCCCAGCTGCCGCACTGCCGGTGACACAGCAGCCCTAGGCACGCACAGCAGAGAAGGAGGAAAGGAAGTTGGAGCCCAGTTAACCTAAGTTTTGAGTATCAGAGTGGGAATCTATATTCAGTGTAGGGATAAGAACCACTGTAAAGGGCAGCGAGGCATGTGATTGGAATTCAGAGGGGAAGATAAGCCATGGTTTCCCGAGCAAGAAGATGGTTGTGTGCCAGCATCTCCCAGCTTCTAATTCCACCTCCCCCCACCTGAATAAACAGTGTTGCCATCAGCCAAATTAGATCTCAAACAGGAATCCTGAGAATAAGGTAAACCAACAAGCAAACAGAAAGAAGAGCCGGTAACTCTGTGCATGTGAGTGTGCGTGTTAACGTTAACTGTCTCTTTGTGTCTTCTCAACTGCATAATAAAACCTCACGGGCAAATACAGATGTTCACCAAAATTTTGGGCCGCTTATGGGTCTAGCTGTAGTCCTGCACCGCAGGTACTCCCTAAGCCAGTGGCAGAAAACAGTGCAAGACCTCCAGGTCTCTGGATAAGGCACACCTGAGCTCCCCTGTGCGCCCCTGCTCACACCTGCGCTCCCCTGCTCACACCTGCACCCCTCGCTCACATCTGTGGCCTCCTGCTCACACCTGCATTCCCCTGCTCACACTTGTGCCCCCTTGCTCACCTGGGCCCCCCTGCTCATAACTGCGCTCCCCTGCTCACACCTGCACCCCTCGCTCACATCTGTGGCCTCCTGCTCACCTGCATTCCCTGCTCACACCTGTGCCCTCTCTCACACCTGCACCCCTACTCACCTGGGCCCCTTTATTCACACCTGCGCACCCCTGCGCTCCCCTGCGCACACCTGCCAGGGCCGGAACCCTCCCTCCTCCCAGGTGGGGCCTCCCTGCGGAGCCAGGTGGCGCGGTGTTTTCATCCTGGCCGCCCCGTTCCAGGAGACCTCAGGTTCGGGTTTTGTTAAGTTTCTGGCCGATACTAGCGTCGCACGGAGAAGGCGTGGCTGGAGCCCGACGCACGAACCCAAGCCGGCCACGGACGTCAGCAGGGCCCCAGAGCCGCGGTGCGCACCTGTGTCCGCGCAGCGGGGAACAATAAAGTTGAGCTTGTTCCAAAGGGGTCTTTTGTCGTCCAGGGCCCGCCGGACGAGCCTGCAAAATAGGGCTCCCACGGAGTCCCCAGCGTTGGCAGGTGTCCTGTTTCTCGGGGCGTTCTCCTCACTCGGGACAGCGCCGGCTGGGGGCGGGGCGGGGCGGGCGCGGGCACGTGGGGCGGGCGGCCCGGCGATCGCCGCGGGCAGCCCGGCGAGGACCCCGGCTCCCGTGGAGCCCGGTCCCCGCCGGCGGCCGCGCGGACGCGCGCGATGAAGCCCCGACCCGCGAGGTTCGTGGACCACAAGCTGAAGCAGCGAGTCGCGCAGGTAGAGGCCGGGCGCCGCCAGGCGCCGCGCTTTCTCGGTGGCCCCCGCGGCGAGCCGCGTCCGGGCGGGGGTGTGCGGGCCCCCTGCGGCCGCGGCGTGGCTGCCGGGGGCCGGGTCCCGCGGGTGCAGCCCCGGAGGAGCCGGGCGGCGCGCAGGTGCCTCGCGCGGTTCCGACCTTGGAGAGGCTCTCGGGCCGCCGGGTTCCGGGGTGTGCTCGTCTGCGGGGAGCGATGTGTGCGGAGTGTCTCGCAGTGGCGCAGCCTCCAAGCCGCGTAAGGAGGAGGGAGGGAGGTTTCACTTTGCACTCTGGAAGCTGGATCCTCTTACTCTTTTACTTTGCCGGTGCTGCAGTTTCCTTTCCGGATGGGTCTCTTGCTACCAAAGTCTAAATAAGTGCTCCTGTGCTGTTTCTCTATCTTCGTACTCCTTTTGCTTCCCAGGTGCCGTCACCCGGTCCAGGGCCTTTAAATACTGTCTGTATGCTATTCATATGTTCGCCAAAAAACAGCACAGGTAGAAGATGCCGTATACGTGTATTTGTGAATATGTAAACATAAATTCAATGAAAACATATTCACTTTACTTTTCTGTATTTATTTGAGAGAGAGGGTGAGAGCATGGGGGCGTGGGGTACAGAGGGAGAAGGAGAGGAAGACTCCGCGGGAGCAGGGCGCCCCACAGGGCTGGATCCCGGGACCCTCAGATCATGACCTGAGCCAAAGGCGGACACTTGACCGACTGAGCCACCCAGGGGCCCCTATATATTCACTTTACATACTCTTTATTTCCAAGACTCATGTGTGCAGTGTGGATTTTATCTTGAAAATCCAGCTGTGGGGCAGCCCTGGTGGCGCAGCGGTTTGGCGCCTGCCTTTGGCCCCGGGGCGTGATCCTGGAGACCGGGGATCGGGTCCCACGTCGGGCTCCCGGTGCATGGAGCCTGCTTCTCCCTCTGCCTGTGTCTCTGCCTCTCTCTCACTCTCATGAATAAATAAATAAAATCCTTTAAAAAAAAAAATCCAACTGTGTACTCAACATTTCCTCTTGAATGTCTGATGGGCATCTCCAACAACATAGCTACACCCGATATTTAGATATTCTCCTCCAAACTGGTCTTTTCTCAGTGTTCTCTGTTTCAGTCAATGACACTACCAGTAGTGTCCAGTAGTCAGGGCCAGAAACCTTAACAACCTTAACAACCATTACTGCTCCTTTGTTTCGCTTTCTGTAACCAGTGAATTGGCGCTTTATTTGGCTTTCCCATCACCACGTACCCCAGGCCCAGCCACGCCTCCCACCATCACAGCACAGTTGACTGCGGATCTCTGTGGTCGCTTTATCTACGTAAGGTGTGTTCTTCACCGGGCTGCCAGGGAGGTGCTTTTAAAGGGAGCTTTGCCGGGTCCCGCTCAAAACCCCCTGCAGTGGGCTCCCATAGTATCTGGGGAAAAACCATCCTAAAGAGTCATGTACTCTGGGCCCCGTCTACTTCTTCATGCTCCTTTTGCTCCCTCTTGCTTTCTGTGTCCTCACCACACTGACCCTCCTGCAGCCCGCAGCTGGCTCTCAGTGTCCCCACCACGTGCTGCCTCACTTCATCAGTAGATGTCTGGATGGTGACTCCTAACTCCAGTGGTCCTTGCTCTCATGGTATGGGACTACTCTTCACCATTTCACATTATCTGTTTTCCTCTATGGCTTTTACTTTGGTTCATTATGAAAACAATAGGTTTTTATGGTTTAAAATAGAAGGGGCAGAAGGGCATAAAAGAAGAGGCATCCCTTTGTCTTCATTTCTGTAGGGGTAACCATAGAGAGTTTCTATTGTATCTAAAATTTTGTACGCCTGTATGACTTCTGTGTGTATATATATTTTATCCACACAGACTCATCTGCATCTATTCTGCTGCTTGCTTTTTTCACCTAGTGGTATATCTTAGGCCTTTTCCCACAAATCGTACATTTGTCTCCTTGTACCTAGCACACCAGTTATTTTTATTGTTACGTGACAAACCATCCTGAAATTTAGCAGATTAACGTGATTTTATTTCTGCTGCCATCAAGGAACTGTTTGACTTGTAGTGGGTACAAGATGTACACAAATATGTATAATTCAGAATTAACTGTAGTAAATGACAGCATGGTCTAGGAGTCCAGGGCAGGGGAAGATTACCTAGAACAGGACTGCCTTGGATACCTGGTCTCTTTGTCACTGGAGGCATTGGTGCAGAGACCATTATCCTGTGTTTGGGATTCTCAAGAAGGTGCTCTATGAAGTCAGGCATCCTTGACTAGATGACTAGTGAGCATTGAAACCCAGACATTGATAGACATCCCGTGTTTCAAATCTGGCCCTGTGATATATGTGCTGCCAAGTGGGTAATTAGCTTTTCAACGTCTCTTTGAGCCTTTCTCATCTATAAAGTGGGGAGCCTGGCATCCCTCGTGGGACCACGAGTGCTGCTACAAAGCCCTACAGCAAGTGCTTGAGGCCCTCAGTTTCTTAAGATTTTTTTCCCGGTGCCTCCAGGCACATTTATTAAGTAGTTAGATCCAAGCCACTTTATGACTGTTTGTTTGTTTATTTATTTATTTATTTATTTATTTATTTATTTATTTATTTATTTATTTATTTTTAAAGATTTTATTTATTTATTCATGAGCGAGAGAGAGAGAGAGACAGAGACACAGGCAGAGGGAGAAGCAGGCTCCATGTAGAGAGCCTGATGCCGGACTTGATCTCGTGACTCCAGGATCACGCCCTGGCCCGAAGGCAGGTGCTAAACCACCCAAGCCACCCAGGGGAATCCCCTTCGTGACTGTTTAATGCAAATAACTTAGTAGCTTTTTGAAAACATAATATATAAAAACTGAAGGAAAATTAACACAGTTGTGTTTCATTCTTAAGTAATTCCACTTAAGAGTGGGGCTTGTGTGCCTATTGGGTCAGGTTGACCCTGCCATTCTTATTTCCTGATCCACACTAATTTTTGCAAGGGCTTTACTTATAGCAACTGCTGAAAACCCAGTTTTGCAAAGATCTGACATCATCCAAAGGTGATTTCATATGGAAATCATGAATTGTCTCAGACCTGAAGTTCCTGCAGTGATGGTCAGGTGGCAAATATTATGATGCTCCCTCAGATTTATAGTAGCCCTTATGCCCTTGTGAGCTAAAGTGCTTTGTTCTGGGGTATTTCGGAATTTAGGATATAATAACCCCTAACTACCTTATAGCTATTCTAGTTGTTGTTACTGTGCTCTCATAGTGATTAAAAATGTTAATTCTCTGATTCCAGACTTGATCATTATTTAGTGATTTTTTTTGGTCTCTGATACACTTAACAATGAAGTGTTTATGTTAAAGCATAACATGTTTGAATACCTCAATCTCTGATTAAAATCACTGAGTTTGAAACACTGAGTACTGAATGTCGTATTTTCTGTTTTAGTACCTCACCAGTAACAGATGTGGCAAATATGTGGACATCGGAGTCTTAGCATCTGATTTACAAAGAATGTACAGGTAAAGAGATGGAGTCTCCAGATTTTTGCCTTTATTTTTAGTTTCCATCCTGCCTGAATTCCGAGTTGACAGTAATCGCTGCTGGCACTAGTTTACCAGTCCATAAGTTCAGGATTCAGTTTAGTTATACATAGATTTACCAAATATGTATCATATGCAGAGCGCTTTCCTTGTGACTAAGGGGAACAGCTGTTGCTTCTCTTTCAGCACCGTACAGTCTAATCAGGAGTAGTGCCTCTTTTCCTGTCTCATTAAAGAATCAAAACCATGAGACATGATCTCCCTGGCTTCCTGGCTACCTCAAAATGTCTCTAGGCTTCTTCCCTAAATATTCAGGTTTTTTTTTTTTTTTTTAAGAAGATTCTGTTTTTCTCTTGCATCTCTGACCCCAGCTTTCATGACACTGCACTCCATGAGTTATCACCACCCTGTATATCGCAGTCTCCGTCTTCCTTAGTATACTAGTTTGTTAGGACTCCCGTAAGAAAGTATTAGAGGCTGGGGAGCTGAAGCAACAGAAGGTCAAGGCCTCAGAGCTGTAGGCTGGAACTCTGCTGTCGATCAAGGGACCGGCAGGATTGGTTTTTCCTGAGGTCTCTTGGCTCTCGGGTGGCCGTCTTCTCCTTTTGTCCTCATATGGTCTTTCCTCTGTGCGTCTGTCTGTATCCTAATCTCTTACTCTTATTTAAGATTTGTATACCCAATGTGGGGCTCAAAGTCACAAAGCTGAGATCAGGAGTCATGTGCTCCGTCAACTGAGCCAGCGAGGCGCCCCTGTTACTCTTACAAAAACACCAGTCATATTGGATTAATTTGCTCTAGTGCTCTGTCTTGTGGGCCCACTAGGACGGCTGCCCTGCCCTTTGGAACCGAGGAGGATAGTGCCACTCCCCGGACCCAGGCCCCAACCTCTGAGCCCCCTTTAGAGTTGTTCATCACTTTCTGTGAAGAATCAAGTGCGTCCACAGTTGAATGGCCCATCTTATAGAATCCCAGGAATTCAGCAGCATTCCTTCATCCGTCCTCCCTGTCTCCTCCTGTACAAGCGGCCAGCATTCCTGATGCTGTAAGCCCATCTCTACTCCAGAAAAATTTACAGTAGAGAAAATGTAAACTCATAAGTTGCTTGAAAATAAGCTTACGATCAGTGTGAATACAGTGACATGCTTACATGTTTGCAAATTAATGTCATCAATTTAGATTGAGTTTAATGAGAAAATGTTGGTGGAGATCCCTGTACTAAGACATTTGTTATGTTTTTCAGTGTAGACTATGGTCGAAGAAAAAGAAATGCTTTTAGGATTCAGGTAGATAAAGGTGAGTCTTTTAGAGCTGAATTATTAGTGAAGTTTAAGAACTGTGTTAGCTCATGACATTTTTCTTTTTGTTTTAGTATTTAGCATAATTACCAGTGAGAAAGAAGTTAAGAATCTAACAGCATTAGAAGATGAGCATCTGGCAAAAAGAGCAAGACAAGGTGAAGAGGATAATGAGTAAGGATCACACAAAAAGGGGGTGTTTTTCTAAACCAGGGGACCGACCACAGTACATTCCTATTTGTAAAATTTGTGGTGACTCTTCATTGCCAGCAAGGCCGTGTATACTACTTACCTACAGTCTCCAGACCTTTGGGCCTACTGCATCTCACTGTTACCCAAAGAGGACAAATTCTTTGTGTCTTTGTGTGAGTGGCCTTCTGTAGCTGGAGTGTTCATTTCTCTGCCACAAACTACTCCCCAGCCTTTAAGACGCCACATGAATGCTCCAGCCAGCCATCTTAGATGCCTTTCTGCCTGCTTCCTTAACTCTTGCTTACAAGTGTTTGATATGATGCTTGTCATATGGCGTTGAGATTACTTGTGTGTAACCCCGACAGACCTGTCTCCTTATCTTTGTTACTCTCTGCCCTCATGTAATGCCAGATACCTGAAAAGGTACCAGCTAATCTTGCTGTTTAAGAAATAGCATTAATGGGATGCCTGGTTGGTTCAGTGGTTGAGGATCTGCCTTTGGCTCAGGGCGTGATCCCGGTATGCCTGGATGAATCCCACATTGGGCTCCCTGCTCCCTGCGTGGAGCCTGCTTCTCCCTCTGCCTATGTCTCTGCCTTTCTCTGTTTCTCATGAATACATAAGTAAAATCTTTAAAAAAAGAGAGAAATAACATTAAGTATTTTTATCATGAATAGGTGTTATATTTGTCAAATACTTTTTATGCACTTAATGAAAGATTTTGTTATGGTTTTCTCCCTTTTTTCTATTAATTTGGTGAATTACATTGATTTTTTTTTTTTTTTTTATTAAGCCAGTCTTGCATCCTGGGATATACCTTACTGGGTTCCATGTATTATCCTTAGATATTGTAAAATTGTTTATCTTTTTCTGTACATGCTTATGTCTGTCTTCATATTGATCTGAATTTTTTTCTTTTTTGTGATGTTTTTGTCAATTTAGGGTTATACTGGCTTCATAATATTAGTTGGAAAAAAAATTTTTTTTCTCTATTTGACCAAAAAGTTAGTAATGTCACTGCTACTTCTTTCTTTTCTTTTCTTTTTTTTTTAGAGATGTTGTGGAACATTGCAATATATGTATATATTTATATTTATATTTTATATATATATAAAATCTTAAAAAACTTTGAAAAAAGACTTCATCTTGGGCTATAGGCTTCTTTTTGGAAAGGATTACATAACCTTTAATTTTACTAATTCTAGGGCTTTTCCTATTTTCTTTTTCTTCTTGTATCAATAAATTGTACTCTTAAAGGAATGTGTCCATTTCAGCTAAGGTGTGGAATTTGTTGGCATAAAGTTTTCAAGATATCCTCTCATTTTGCCTTCAATGTCTATAGGATCTGTGGTGGTAGTTCCTTTCCATTTTGCTGGCTTCTTATTTGGATTGACTATCATTTTCTTAACTAGTTCCATACTTGTGGACATTGGCTTGTTTCCAGTTTTGTGCTAACGTGCAGTAAATAATCCTTTAGCACATATATCTTTGTATACATTTCTTTTTTTTTTTTTTATACATTTCTTTGTTTTTTAAATGTTAAATTCCTGAAGTGGTATTTCTGGGGTTAAAGGTATATTTTTGAGATTTCTGTTACATTTGGAGCTGGTTCATCCTCCCAGCAGCTTTGTATGAAGAGTGCATTCCTCTGCACCCTTGTTATCCTAGTAGTACTATTATTTAATCTCTACCAGCTTCGCAGGCAGAAATTGATATGTTTTCATTTGTAATTTTTGGATAACTAGTGAGGTTAAATTTTTTTGACTGTTTAATGTTTCCTCTTTTAGTTGTTTGCTTATGGGTTTTGTCTTTCATTTGAGAGGTGTTTGAATTTTCTGTATTATTTGTCAGATCCCTTCATAGAAAATAGCACCTCCTTTTATACGTACTCCAAATGCTTGTTCCATTTTGCCATTCGTCTTTTATTTTTGTTAAAGTATCTTTTGAGGGGCACCTGGGTGCCTTAGTGGTTGAGCCTCTGCCTTCAGCTCATGGTGTGACCAGGGTCCTGGGATTAAGTCCCACATCAGGCTCCCTACAAGGAACCTGCTTCTCCGTCTGCCTATGTCTCTACCTCTCTCTCTCTGTGTTTGTCATGAGTAAATAAATAAATAAGTCTTTAAAAAAGAATAAAAAAATAAAATGTCTTTTGAGGGCAACCCTGGTCAGGTCCCCTCCCTCTTCTGGAGTTTTGTACTGTCACTCAAAAAGAGTCTTTTGATTAGAGAAGTCCTGCATCTGCCAGTCTTTTCCTTTATAGTTGATGCTGATATGATTAGACCTCTAGCACAGGAGTATATGGGATAATTACCTGTACTTTTTCCTTGTTTATTCATGGCATTACGTTTAACTCTTTTTTTTTTTTTTTTAAGATTTTTATTTATTTGAGAGAGCACATGCATAAGAAGGGGAACAGCAGAGAGAGAGGGAGAAGCAGGCTCTCTACAGAGTAGGGAGCCTGACCTGGGGCTCGATCCCAGGACCCTGAGACCATGACCTGAGCCAAAGGCAGATGCTTCACCAACTGAGCCACTCGGGCACGCCAAACATTTAACCTTTAAACCACTTGTAATTATCTTTGTAGGATGTGACTCTTAGGGCAAAATGGTTTTTTTTTTTTTTTTTAACTAGTTGAATTATCCACCTTCTTTATATTGATTAGAAACACCCAAACTTACATTAATAGAATTTAATGAATAACAAAAGAATTCATGTCTTTTTTTATAAAAGAGCCATAACATTCATGTAAACCTTTTTTTTTTTTTAAGATTTTATTTATTTATTCATGTGATAGAGAGAGAGAGAGGCAGAGACATAGGCAGAGGGAGAAGCAGGCTCCATACATGGAACCTGATGTGGGACTCGATCCAGGTATTCCGGGATCACACCCTGAGCCAAAGGCAGACGCTCAACTGCTGAGCCACCCAGGCATCCCTTCATAAACCTTTTTATTTAGAAAGAGTCCTGTTCTTGTTTAATTATTTTCTAAAGACATTTTATTGAATAGTACCAGGGTCCTATAGTTGTACTTGAAGCTGTTAAAATATCAACTCTGGGTTATAATGAACTGAGGCCGCATTCTTAGCTTGTCATTAGGATTTATGCCTGTTCCTTGCTGAAAGTTTATTTGTACCTTCGTTTCTCATGGACAGACTTGGGAAAGCTCCACCTGTTCACTTGGCTGTCATGTGGAGTGTGTGAATTTTTACTCAGTTACTCATTTATGGCTTGCTGGAATATTTCCTTTTTTTGGCACCTGATATTCCTAATAAGACCTTTGGGTCTGATAGGAATTTGCATTTTATTTATTGCTAGGATTAAGGTAATCACCATTTATTATGTACTCTAAGGAATTGGTGAGCTTCTCTTGAGTCGTCTGATAACTTAGGTGGACATTATTTATTATCCCTCTTTATGGATTAGGATGTGGTGCTTACAGAGATGAGTAGAAGCTAGTAACCTGCAAGTTGTATTTTGAATCCAGATTTTTCTTAATTCCAAAGCCTGGAGCCTTCACCACCATAATATTTTGCCTTAGTATATTTTTTGCTTGGAGTGGTAAATTTTTTAGGATGTGGAGAAAAGCCTTTAAGATGTTTCTTTTCCTCTTCTTACTGAGGTATACTGAAAGCTATTCAGACAGTGATTCAAATATGGAAGACTACCCAGATCCACAGGTAAGCTAGACATTTAATGGACCCACTTTGATTTTTTTTAATCATCCTGAATAATTTAACAAAATAATTAGCCTGGAATAGAATAAGAGACTTTGAACATCTCTGTCAATAAATAATTGAATATTTCCTGTGTACAGTGTTGAAGAATTCTCTGGATGGCCATCCTTCCAGTATTCGTGTTTATAGCCTATTTTATAGGGGGGAAAAAAGGGAAGAGAGTGGCCAGAAATAGGGCATGTGGGAAGACAAAGGGGAATTAACAGTAAAAATTGAGAAAAAGATACATTTTCTGCCAAAGGGCTTGCATTGCCAAAAAGTAGGCTTCAGTTAAAGGGAAATGTGGAAATAATGTATCAGATGATTTGTAACTTACTCTGTTTTTTCCTAATGGTAGTTTATGTTTTTAACAAAGGATGATAATGAGTCATATTTGATCAGTATTGAATTGATAGTAGTGACTCTTTTTGACAACCAGTTCATTTTCATACTTGATTCCGTTGTATTTTTTAAAACTGATCTTTGTTACTTAGTTTTAACTTCCATTTATGAGTTGGTTCTTTAGCTTGAGGTGAGGTGGGGACATCTTTTATGAGCAGTAAATGTTTGCTTGTGAAGCTTCTCACTGTGAACCCCTGTGTTTTCTGACTGAAATGCTGTGAGAGAAGCTGTTGACCGTGGAATGTATGGGTAACCAGCTTTCCATGAGTACCTGTGAGTAATTTATGATAACGTTGTGTTTCTGCCAGGTGGCAAATCACATGAACAGCTCCCTGCTGTCCTTATATCGGAAAGGACATCCTGATTCTATTACAAGTACTCCTGAGATGGAGCCCAGAGAAACCACGGTCTCAGTCCCACGGACGCCTTCTGGAACAGGCTCCGGCCCGTTGAAGGCCCCAGCCAGAGCTTCTGAGGGAGGGTGGTTTATCGACAGAACTCCTGCTGGAAAGATGGGTCTGACAGACGAGAAGAGTAATCACAAGCAGCCAGGATCTGAGAAAGAGGTATTTTTCTGGTGGAATTTTAGCTTTAAGTACTTGGAGCACATTCCAGCCTTTGAATGTCACATCAGCAGATTCTTGTGGCTCGTGAAGGGTGTGGGGGGAGTTGGCAGCACATGGAGAACATGCTCACATCCTCTCAGCTGCCGCTGTTTCTGAGTTAGAGCCCTAAAGACTGAAATAATATCCCGTGGCTTATTCTCCACTCGCAGGGTCTTGTTTTTTTCAAGTCAGGTTGTTCTCATTTGTGCATTAAAAATGTCTTTGTTCGGGCATCCCCAGGTGGCTCAGCGGTTTAGCGCCACCTTCAGCCCAGGGTATGATCCTGGAGACCCGGGATCGAGTCCCACATCGGGCTCCCTGAATGGAGTCTGCTTCTCTCTCTCTCTCTCTCTCTCTCTCTCTCCTCTCCTCTCCCTCTCCCTCCCTCCCCCTCTCCCCCTCTCCCCCTCTCCCCCTCTCCCCCCGTGTCTCTCATGAATAAATAAATCTTTAAAAAAAAATGTCTTTGTTCAGTCTAAAATCAAAGGCTTCATGATTGTGAGTGGCTGCCCTGCTGGCTCTTCAGTCATCTGTCACCTACCTCCCCACATGGCCTGGTGCTGTTTCTAGAATACTCCATGCACGCTCACCTGGGGCATGTGCACCTGTGCTTCTATCTGGACCTGCCCCAGATTCCTGTGACTTACCTCCTATTTCCTTGTTATCTTGGTGGAGCCCTTTCCTGGTACGTAAAATAGCATGTCCTTGGGTACTGTTTCCTGACCCTGCTTCATCTCCTTTTTGTCAAGCACTTTGGACCACTCAGAATTTATTGCATAATTGTTTAGTTGTTGCTTTTTTTTCCTTTGTCTCCTCTAGAATGCCAGCTTGTTTTGTTTAATAATGTCTCCCCGGATAAAATGCAGCTAACAGGGCACCTGTGGGGCTTAGTCAGTTGAGCATCTGACTCTTGATTTTGGTTCAAGTTGTGATCTCAGGGCCCTGGGATCAAGCCTGGTGTGGGGCACTGCACTGGGCATGGAGCCTGCTTGAGATTCTCCCCTTCTTCCCCTTCCCCCCCTTCCCCTACTCATGCGTTCTAATTCTGTCATTCTCTCTTGGTCTATCTCTAAATAAAATCTTTAAAAAATCATTAAAAAAATAAAATGCAGCTGATATGTGGTTGTCAATTTGTTTGTTTGTTTTTTTTTTTTAATTTTTATTTATTTATGATAGTCACAGAGAGAGAGAGAGAGGCAGAGACACAGGCAGAGGGAGAAGCAGGCTCCATGCAGGGAGCCCAATGTGGGATTCGATCCCAGGTCTCCAGGATCGCGCCCTGGGCCAAAGGCAGGCGCCAAACCGCTGCGCCACCCAGGGATCCCCTGTCAATTTGTTGAATTAGTGCCTAAGGGCCTTCCAAGGTGCACTTACCAGTGCAGGTTAAAGAATAGGTATTTTGCACGTGTGTTTCAGAAGGTCGGTCCTTGTCAGAGGGAGCTCTGAAGCAGCTTGTGGCTCCTTTTCCCCTAAGGGTAATGCCTCAAGGGAGCCTGCACAAATGGGTACACCATGAAAACGTACAGAATAAGTAGACACCCGTTTTTTAACCTTTCTAGGTTCAGCTATACCATACCTAAAAGTAAAGCTGAATTATCACAGAGTGAACACATTGGGCACCATCCTTAACTGACTGTTTTTAACAACAGACACAATGAGAGGGAATTTATAGGAATTTGTCCCACGGTAGTCCCACAGATGCCCCCAGGGCTCACTCTCTGGTGTGATAGGTGCTCTTGAGCACTTGAAATATGGTTAGTGCAAATGAGGAACTAAATCTGTAATTTAAATTTATAAAATAATAGTCAATTCAGTTATTATAAAACTTCTAGGGAAAAGTACACATTGGTCTTTGAAGACCTGCTATTAAAAAAAGCAACATAAGACCTCTCAATTTTTTATACTGATTATATGTTGAAATGACAATGTTTTGAATATATTCGATTAAATACTAAATTAACTTCACTGATTGCTTTTTCCCTTTTTTAAACGTGGCTATTGGAACATATTTAAAATTATGTATATGGGCAGCCTGGGTGGCTCAGTGGTTTAGTGCCACCTTTGGTCTAGGGCCTGATTCTGAGGACCCAGGATTGAGTCCCACATCGGGCTCCCTGCATGGAGCCTGCATCGGGCTGCATCTCCCTCTGCCTGTGTCTCTGCTTCTCTCTATGTGTGTGTCTCTCATGAATGAATAAATGGAATCTTTTGGGGGAAAAAATTCTGTATATGGCATTGTATTTCTCTTGGCCAGCACCACTGTAAGTGGTTTCCAAGAAATGAGACTTGACTTGGCAAAACCCTTCTCCTTTAAATTATTACTGGGCCTTTTTCATATTTGAGCATTCATCATCTGTTCTTAGAAAACATTATTATAGGGTTAAGGAAATAGCTTGACTTTTATGCAGAATTATACTTTCTTATGGCTTTCAAAGCAGCTCTGTAGTGCTGTTTAATGTAGTGATTCATCAGACATCACATGAAGACACTCTGGTGAAAATCTGGTGAGAAACACAAGACAAAGGTTAATGTCTCCACTCCCGGGACTCACAGTTCCATGAGGGATACAGAATTTCTCAGATATAAGCAGATTGTGGCAGGCTCTAATACACTTGCAGGTTCAGTGTCCAGGGAGTGTGAGGAGGAGTCTGGAAAGGAAGTTTTCACGCGTGGGCTATAAACTGAGCTTCAGCTGCAGAAAAGGTGGCCAGTCTTCAGCAGAGACCATGATTGAGCAGAGGGGCTGGAAACTGATGCCACTGCCTGGCCAGGAATGCCCGTCTTGAAGAATACATCACTGATGTTGTGGTTTCAGGCATGGCATATTTAAGTTTCTTTTCCTTCCCAGGATTCCAAAGATGCTTCCCTTCTGGAGAGTAATGAGAAAAGGAAAGGCAGACTGAGGAGCAAAGGGAACAAAAGGAAGAAAGATGTCCAGGAAGCAGATGGGGAAATAGAAGGTGTCCTGCAGAGGAAAGGTGGGCTATGCGTCCTCAGGGGCAGGCATGGTGGCAGGCGGGTTTCGGAAGAGGTGGTGCCAGTCCCTGCCATCATGCTTGGGGGACCTGCCAGGTGTGGTGACATCTGTGATGAAAGACTTCAGTGTCCAGGGACCTCAGTTTCCTTAGACATTATTAAATAGAACTCTGAATTCCTAATGAATCACACACTTTTTGTCTCCTATTTTGTTTGCCAGCTAAAGCCAAGGGGCTGGAGTTACAGGTCTCCAGGGTGAAGTTTGAAGATGTGGGAGGTAATGATGCGACATTAAAGGTTAGTTCAGGTGCACGTGGCTTTATTGTTGATCAGTTATTCAAACAACCTGCGTCTCTTTGCTGGTAGGAACTGAGTGTGGAAGGGAGCCTGGGAAGGGCAGAGGGGCAGACCTGGCTCATACTGTCAGGGGGCCGAGGGGTAGAGGGCGTGTAGTGCCTGCAGCTTCTTCATTGTTTGAACTACAACCTGTGTGCGGAACGCTGCTGTAGCAGGAGTAATAGTAGCAGTTACTATTTATTCAGTGTCTACTCAGTTCCACTTACCGTGCATCCCATTCTCTGCTAGGAAGTCTGCAAGATGCTCATCCACATGCGTCACCCGGAGGTGTACCACCACTTAGGTGCCGTGCCGCCCCGTGGTGTTCTCCTACACGGGCCACCAGGCTGTGGGAAGACCCTATTGGCCCACGCTATTGCTGGGGTGAGCTCTGCGTGTGTCTTGCTCCTGCTCCTTCGTTCTGTTTGCCTTTGTGCTTCCTTTTCGGTCAACTTGAACCACACTTGGAATCTTCTCAGGAGGATCCATCCTCTCTGTTTCTTCCCTCTTTCGTGCTGCTGTTTGTGAGATGCTATTTGTTTTAATGCAGCCAGTTATTTATGTGGCAAGGGTTGGGTGGGGAGCAAAATGACCTGGTTGCAAACACCCCTTTTTAACACATAGTTTATGTTTTAGTTACTTCTCTTTCCCTTTAAGCCAGTGGTTCTCAAAAGCAGTAAATAAGAAAACTAAGGATTGTATTGTTTTTCACAGAACCTAAATTTACTGAGAATTTCCACTCAGAGTCATGTTCTTATACCTTTTTTTTTTTTTAGGCCTTTTTTTTTTTTTCCTTAATTTTTAAGTAGTTTCTACACCCAGTATGGGGCTTGAACTCAGTACTCCAAGGTCAGGAGGCACCTGTTCCACTGACTGAGCCAGCTGGGTGCCCCACGTTCTTGTACTTTTTAGTGTTTAATTAGCCTTTCTGAAATGGTGATGATACTTAGTTGGCAAAATTAAAAGGCAGCAATATTTTCTTTGTCCCATCAGATTTTTCAGAAACTGTGTTAGGTGGTAAAATGCAAAATGAGTGACTTCAGTTTGAAGAATAGTGTTTTATACCAGTGATGAATAGGTTAGTGCTCTGATTTGCCTCATTTGTTCCTCTGTTGACCAAACTGTTGTGTGACCGCTGCCTGGCAGATGTTGAAATGCAGTGATAAGTAAACCCCATCTAGTAGGAGAGGCCACGTGGAATGGCCATCATACAAGTGAATGTTGTATGCAGTCACAGCAGTCATGGGTGGAAGATACGGTGTGATGTTTCTGTGGGATGCCTGTGGGCAAGGAAGTGATTTTCAGGATGGCCTGGAGAGCTAGTAGGGTGCAGGCAGGCTGGTTGCCATGTGCACTAACAGGGCAGCTCCTCCTCTGCATTGGGCTCCTCTGGGTGCAGGGCTGAGACGTGGCAGTAGGGTGAGTAGGACTCAAGTGTGTCATGACCCTGCCGCTCCTTCCAGCAGGTAAATAACTGGGAAATTGTTCTGGCTGAGGTCGGGGTGGGGGGTGGGGAGCTGTCTCTGGAGATGACAATGGGATCTCACAGTGACTTCTGTAAAGTATAGACAAGTGGAAGGCATCCAGTCGATGTGCTTGAACAAAACTGTAGATTTTTTTTTTTAAACTGTAGATTTCTAAATAATGTTTTTCAACAAACCAATACAGAAAGATGAAGTTTCTCAGAAAATTGAGCATTCCAAAAATGGAATTTTGAGACAGGGACTGAATGAGGAACACGTAGGAAGGTACATTTTGACATGTGGCCATTCTTTGATGTGTTTCTACCCAGGAACTGGACCTCCCAATTCTGAAGGTAGCTGCCACGGAGGTTGTGTCTGGGGTGTCTGGGGAATCCGAGCAGAAGCTAAGAGAGCTGTTTGAGCAGGCTGTGGTGAGTCTGGTGCCGACCCACGTTGGGTCATTGGGTCATACGAGGCAACACAGCCAAATGTTTATAGTAGATGCACTGATACAGGCTGTCGGCCAAAGTAATCTGTTGAATCTGAAGTCAGGTGTAACTACAGTTAGTGAGCAGTTCTACACTGTCATGCCTGCTGCTTCTGGGTTGAAAATAGATTGTCCTGGTGGTATTTGCTCTCACTTTCACTTTCCCCAAATTAAGTTTACCAGACAGTGTGGAAGCAGTGTGAAACTGTTCACCTTTAGGATTATCACAGTGTAAGAGTAGCCATAGAAATGCCAGGATAAACTCTTCTCTGCCTAAGTGAACCTGTGAGAAGAAAATCCTGTTACCAGAGAAATGACGGATTGGATTCCCACTGTAATTCCTGACATCAAAATGCGGGTGACAGCAGGTGCCTGTCCTGGGTCTCCCCCGCCCCCCCCCCCATTACTCGATGAAGCAGGGTGCTCTGAGGCATATGGGTCAGAGAACAGAACATCCAAGCAGATACTGGGATCCTCTATTGAGAACTGTATGCTTCCCCTTCAGCCAAGTTCTGATGACCAGAACCGCCTCTTCCTCTTTCTCACTGAGTTTTCCTGGCCATGGGCAGATCCTGTTGTCCCGGGAGGCTGGAAAGCCAGTCAGCCAGTGATGGGCCAGATCCTCCCTTGAACTGCTGTGAGCCCCATGGGGCTGAGGTGCCTTAGCTGCTGAGCCTGACTCCTAGTGTAATCCGTGTCACTCAGTAACTAGGAGGGACCGTGCTGGAGATTGCATATCTCAACATCTTTATTTACATTTTTTTAAAAAGTTTTATTTATTTATTTATTCATGAGAGGCACAGAGAGGCAGAGACATAGGCAGAGAGAGAAGCAGGCTCCATGCAGGGGGCCTGATGTGGGACTCGATCTTGGGACTCCAGGATCACGCCCTGGGCCAAAGGCAGGCGCTCAACTGATGAGCCACCCATGAGTCCCTTTATTTACATTTTTCATGTTAACTGGTCCTCCTTTCTTTTTGTTTTTATTGTGGTGAAACGTTAAACTTGCTATTTTAAACATTTTTAAATGTACAGTTCTTTGGTGTTAAGTAAGTACACTTGCATGTTATGTGACTGTCACCCCCAGTGTCTACCCAACCTGAACAAACCCCTGATCCCCACCTTCCCTCCCTCCCCAGTCCCTGAACCCCCACGGTCCTTCCCCAGCCATCCCCATCCCCCTCCCCCCCACCTCGAGCCCCTATATCTCTGTTTCCCATGTCCCTGGCTTTGTTCCAGGTGGTTGGTGCTTCTTTCTTAACTTCCTCTCTCCACTTAGTTTAGTCTGAACTTCAAAGAACACACAAGGGGAAGGTGCTTGTGGTCCACACTGGACGACTGGGGACTCACCTCCCTTCCTTCCTCAGCGTGGTCCTCTTCTAGCTTTGTGCATGCTCACCCACTGGTTGTATTTCATAGCATCACTTGCCTCATTTATGAAAGAATTTTGGGGACTTGGTCATTGCAAAGTGCAGATGGATAAGAGGGCTGTCAGCCTGGCAGCCTATGTGTGGTCTCTCACTGTCCCCTGTCCAGTGTCCTAAGTCAGATAAAAATCAAGTGATGTGCTGGGAACTGCCTTCTATTAGTGCTGGTTTTTTGCTGAACGACCCCTGAACTTCAAGATTCTTTAAAACGTGCATACTAAACTATGCTGCAGTATGGGGCATGTATTTACGATTGTCTTTTGTGATATTTTTATTTCCAGTCAAATGCACCCTGTGTCCTTTTTATTGATGAAATTGATGCAATTACCCCCAAGAGAGAAGTTGCTTCAAAAGATATGGAACGAAGAATTGTAGCCCAGCTCCTAACCTGCATGGATGGTCAGTTTAAAATTATTCATTTTAAGGTGATGGTTAGAGGTTACACACTTCAAATTTTGTAGGAAAGTTTTGCAGCATGCGCTGCCCCATCCTCTGAGAGCCACACTGTGTCCAAGTCCTCCACCACCCCAACTGTCACTGGGTGTTTTCATCTTTGATGGTCTTTTGGTGAAGATGGAGTTATTGCCATATTGTCCTTGGCAGTTACCTGTTTTTATTGCAGGGTGATTATCTTTCCCTATTTCTTGGCTATTTGTATCACCCCCACATCCCTTTCTCATCCCGTGCCGATTGTGTTACTGAATTTTTAAAAATTGATTTGAGGGGGTATTTTATTTTAATTTGTTATGGAAGCAGATTCTTTGGTAAACATGTTACAATTACTTCTTCCCAATCTGTAGCTAGCTTGTTTTTCAGTTCCCATTTAGGTAGAAATTTGGAGGGAAGGTAGATAACTTTTATTTTTTATTTATTTATTTTTTAAAAATATATTTTATTTATTTATTCATGAGAATACACAGAGAGGAGAGATATATAGAGAGAGAGAGGCAAAGACACAGGCAGAGGGAGAAGCAGGCTTCTTGCAGGGAGCCTGACGTGGGACTCGATCCAGGGTCTTCCAGGATCACACCCTGGGCTGCAGACGGCGCTAAACCGCTAAGCCACTGGGGCTGCCTGGTAGATAACTTTTAGAATGAGATCCTATGCACTGTGAAATAGCAGGGGGTTTACATACATAAGAAAATTGGAAGGAGCCCATGTGCTTCTCATGGTGCTAGGTGCAGGTTGCTTATTCTACTGTTGTCATGTAAGATGTTCTTGCCATGTTCTGAGGCCTGTGTTCTGAATTACCAAATTGAAGCTACATCATTACCAGTTCTGAGATACGCGGTTATCATTTTTATGTCCCTCTAAGAAGGAGACACCACCTGCTAGAATGCAGCACAGAATTTATCACATGATCGTAGATGCATTCTGATTTCAGAGATTTTACAATGTGGAAGGAGTAACCAGATTGTCCGTTACTAGAACTTTACTGAAAGCCCCATTAGTTGTGGTTTCCGACATATGTGCGTGTGTTTTAGGGTCCCCTCTATGAATGGAGTAGAGAGAACTTCCAACAGTTCAGCATACCCAGTCACGCCCCAAATAGCCTGTCCCAGGTGGTCATTTTCCCCTACAGTTTGAGAATTTTATAAAATATCAATTTGGAGTTTACAAATTTGAATTTTAATAATTGAAAACTTTAAATGATTTTGAACAAGGTAATAAGAGAACTTAAGAGAACTAACTTTACCTAATTTAAAAAACTTCTACTCAGGCATAATTCTAATTATTAAGAGCTGGAAAACATCTTAAAATATTATCTTGTCTATGAGGAAGTGCTGTGCAGGAAGCCAGGACCTAGTGGATACAGTGGGTCATCAGCAAAGCCAGGGCTTGGCTCCAGATGTTTACACACTTGTATCCAGTTAATAGGCTACCTGCAAAAAATGTGTGTTTTGTCTAGGAGAGCTGGTGCCATGCAGGCAGGGTTTACTCTGTGTGGAAAGAAATAACACTTTGCTTCTTCTATAATGTTCCAAAGTTCAAACTTGTGGCTAACATAACGTCAGTTTATCATGATTGCATCGTACTGGGGAAGAGGGAGAGAAAGAACAGAATTTGTCGTGAAGCTACTGGCAGGAGAGGGCGGCCAGTCCTGGCTAAGATCTGATTTTTATCTTTTATGCAACGGAATAAATCGTATTTGACATTAGCACTTCTGTTGCTGACTATCGATTTCCTGTAGAAGGGTTATTTCATGACTGCAGATTTCACAGATTCCCATGACTGTCCTCACTGAATTCTGTTCCTTACCCCTGACATGCTCAGAGCACGTCACTGAGACCACCGCGTCTGAGTGACCTGACCTTGAACAAGGAAGCAGGTGTCCCATTGGCCATTGTAGCTATGGGCATTAGAACTTGCATGAAGCAGCCTGGGGGTGGCTTGGGCTCTGTTCCGGCCTCCAAACAGGCGGTATTTGGTGGAGGCACACCTTCTTGGGAAGCTTGTGTGCGGTGACTGTGCCGTGCCACCTCATTTTCCTATAGTTTCTCCTGCTCATTTATGAGCTCTCGAGCATGAATCCCCTCCTTGAGCTTTTATGCAACTTTCAAAAAGTATTTAAGAACCTTCCTGTCTCACTCAGGCTGACCGCCTTGTGCCTCTCTTCTCAATCCAAAATTTTATCAAAGGAGTAGTCACTGTCTGCTGAATACACGTTGATGTTTCTGTTCTGGTCTACACTGTACCCCCGTTATATGTCTGTCCCCTACGTATAGCTGAAGCTAATCCTGGGAGAGTTGTGGAGGATCGTCTGGTGGCTTTCACGCTCATCTGTCCCAACCTCTGTTCTTCAGTGTCCTCGTCTGAGAACCTACCTGTCACAGGTGTGGCAGAGGTTGGCCGAGGAGGCGACTGTGCCCTTGCATCTCGCGCGCAGTGAGCGGCCAGAGAGCATCAGCGTGGTGGTTCTCGAGAGCGCTTGGTCCCATGGGCCGCATCACCCTGGGCTGTTGGCATGCGTGGCCTGAGCACTAACACTGCCTTCCTCTCCTTGGCCGGGCACTCTGGCTGCTCCCTAGCAGCTCCCTGACATGGCTGCCTCCACCTACCCGTCCCTCAGACTAACAGGGTCTGACAGGCTCCACACTCGGCCCTCTCTTGTCGCCTTCTGCCCGCTTGCCGCTGGCTATCTGCATACAGCTCTTCAGGAATCACGGATGAGTTGGAACCCTTGAATTTTGACCAGCGACTGGCTCCTCCCCCTGCTGCCTGTCGGATACCCGACAGCCTGTGCTGCCACGGCTGCATCCTCTCCTCCCTGTGCAGACGATGTGCTCCCCTGACCCTCCTCAGGGACTCACTATGCACCTGGGCTTCTCCCTGTGTCCTGCCTTCCCTCCTCTGTCCCCTGACGGCCACAAGCACATAAACTCATTGCAGGGAACACTGCTTGCCTTTGTTATTCTCTGCTGGTAGAATTGTCTTTCCAAAACACAGATCTGATCAGGAGAGCCTTTCTTGCCTTCCCGTCGGCAAAGACTAGTCTGTACATTCCTTACTTTTAGCATCATCGTACCACTTCGTTACCTGGGAGGGGTGCAGCCTCGGACTCCCTGCCTCCCTTGAGAGAATAAGACATGCTGGGCCCCACCTTCTACTTTTCCTAAAAAGTCACTGCCTGGCGGGCCCCTCTCTGAGCATACCATGCACGTCTGTGCCTCTGTGGTCCCTCACTCCTTGGTTCACGTGTAATTTTGCTAACCTGGATCTGCTAATGGCTTGTCCTCCAAGGCCTTCCCTGACTGTGAGCCCCAAGAACCCATGCTGTCTTCCATGGAGTTACTGTGACGCTTTGTTTTTTCTTTTTTTTTTTTATTTTTATTTTTATTATTTTTTTATTTTTATTTTTTTTTATAAATTAATTTTTATTGATGTTCAATTTACCAACATACAGAATAACACCCAGTGCTCATCCCGTCAAGTGTCCCCCTCAGTGCCCGTCACCCATTCACCGCCACCCCCCGCCCTCCTCCCCCTCCACCACCCCTAGTTCATTTCCCAGAGTTAGAAGTCTTTATGTTCTGTCTCCCTTTCTGATATTTCTCACACATTTCTTCTCCCTTCCCTTATATTCCCTTTCACTATTATTCATATTCCCCAAATGAATGAGAACATACACTGTCCTTCTCCGGTTACTGTGGCCAAGTTCAAAAAGGGTGTTGCCTGAGTTCTCCTCTGGGATTTTGATGGAATCTTGTCTCACATTTAGATCTTTCATCTATTTTGAGTTTATCTTTGTGTATGGTGCAAGAGAGTGGTCCAGTTTCATTCTTCTGCATGTGGATGTCCAATTTTCCCAGCACCATTTATTGAAGAGACTGTCTTTCTTCCAGTGGATCGTCTTTCCTCCTTTATCGTATATTAGTTGACCATAAAGTTCAGGGTCCACTTCTGGGTTCTCTATTCTGTTCCATTGATCTATGTGTCTGTTTTTGTGCCAGTACCACACTGTCTTGATGAACACAGCTTTGTAGTACAACCTGAAATCTGGCATTGTGATGCCCCCAGATACGGTTTTCTTTTTTAAAATTCCCCTGGCTGTTTGGGGTTTTTTCTGATTCCACACAAATCTTAAAATAATTTGTACTAAGTCTCTGAAGAAAGTCCATGGTATTTTGATAGGGATTGCATTATACGTGTAAATTGCCCTGGGTAACATTGACATTTTCACAATATTAATTCTGCCAATCCATGAGCATGGAATATTTTTCCATCTCTTTGTGTCTTCCTCAATTTCTTTCAGAAGTGTTCTATAGTTTTTAGGGTATATTTTGAGAACCATTTGAATGGTAAATGGTTCTCCAACCTTTTATTTTCAGGTTGTAGGTGTCCTTCTGTCTAAAATGAGTCTCTTGTAGACAGCAAATAGATGGGTCCTGTTTTTTTATCCAGTCTGAAACTCTGCGCCTTTTGATGGGGTCATTAAGCCCATTCACGTTCAGAGTTACTTGAACTTCTTCTTAAAGGGGAGTTTTAAGAGTCCCCCTTAAAATTTCTTGCAGAGCTGGTTTGGAGGTCACATATTCTTTCAGTTCCTGCCTGTCTTGGAAGCTCTTTATCTCTCCTTCCATTCTGAATGAGAGCCTTGCTGGATAAAGTATTCTTGGTTGCATGTTCTTCTCATTTAGGACCCTGAATATATCCTGCCAGCCCTTTCTGGCCTGCCAGGTCTCTGTGGAGAGGTCTGCTGTTACCCTAATATTCCTCCCCATGAAAGTCAGGGACTTCTTGTCTCTTGCTGCTTTAAGGATCTTCTCTTTATCTTTGGAATTTGCAAGCTTCACTATTAAATGTCGAGGTGTTGGACGGTTTTTATTGATTTTAGGGGGGGATCTCTCTATTTCCTGGATCTGAATGCCTGTTTCCCTTCCCAGATTGGGAAAGTTTTCAGCTAGGATTTGTTCAAATACATATTCTGGCCCTCTGTCCCTTTCGGCGCCCTCGGAAACCCCAATTAAGCATAGGTTTTTCTTCCTTAGGTTGTCATTTATTTGCCTTAATCTGTCTTCATGGTCCCTTAATTTTTTGTCTCTTTTTTCCTCAGTTTCCCTCTTTGCCATTAACTTGTCTTCTATGTCACTCACTCGTTCTTCCACCTCGTTAACCCTTGTCGTTAGGACTTCTAGTTTGGATTGCATCTCATTCGATTGATTTTTAATTTCTGCCTGATTGGATCTAAATTCTGCAGTCATGAAGTCTCGTGAGTCCTTAATGCTTTTTTCTAGAGCCACCAGTAGCTGTAGAATAGTGCTTCTGAATTGGCTTTCTGACATTGAAGTGTAATCCAGATTTTGTAACTCTGTGGGAGAGAGGGCTGTTTCTGATTCTTTCTTTTGAGGTGAGGTTTTCCTTCTAGTCATTTTGCTCAGTGCAGAGTGGCCAAAAACAAGTTGTATTGGAACACGGGGGAGTATCACTGGTCCGTCTAGCTGGTCTTCTGGGGGAGGGGCCTGCTGTGCTGATTCTCAGGTGTTAGCACTTGGGGGAGCTGCTCTGCCCCTGCCTGCTGCAGGGCTCAGCGGGGGTTGTTTACCCTGTGGGGCCCCAGGAGGATCAGCCGCAGTTGCTATGGCAACTCTGGAAGCCTGGATTCAGCCTCCGCAGGAACTACGGGGCTCGGGGCTCTCGGTTCTCCGTCTGCAGGGCCTGGAGGCTCCGGGGCGGGGCCGCTGATCTGCTCAGCTCGGGGCAGGGGCAGGAGCGTCCTCGCTGTCCTGGGCCCTCCCGGGCCCTCCCGGCCTCTGCCTGTCCCAGGGGGAGGCGGGATCCTGGGCTGTGTCCCGGCGCCCTGTGCTCCGGGGCCTGCCCTGTGCTCCGGGGCCTGCGCTGTTGGATTCGCGCTCCCGCCGTGCAGCTCCCTCCCTGGAGCGGCTCCCGAGCCCTCCGAGCTGCTCCGGTGGGTCCGCTGCAGCCCTTAGGGAGCTCGGAGCACTCTCCTGCGCTCGCAGGTGTCTGTTAGTGTCCCAGGGAGCCTGAGGGCATCCCCGCTCTCCTGGGTCCTGTTCCAACTCCCTGCGAGCCCCTTTCCACCCTGGAAGGTTGGTGCAGCTCCTGCTTCTCCGGGACGGGGCTCTCCTGTCCTGGGGACACTCGCCCCGGCCCTAGCCCGGCTCCTCACGGGGCCCCTCCCCCTCGGAGGCCTTTTGTTTCTTTATTTCTTTTTCCCCGTCTTCCTACCTTGATAGAAGCGCGAACTCTGCTCACTGTAGCATTCCAGCTGGTCTCTCTTTACATCTCAGGCCGAATTCGTAGATATTCAGGATGATTTGAAGGTTATCTAGGTAATTTGGTGGGGACAGGTGATTTGGGGACCCTGCTCTTCCGCCATCTTGCCCCTCCCTCCGCTTTGTTTTTTCCCTTCCCTGTGCTGCACAGGATTCGTCTGGTGGGTTTCTCCATAGACTGTGAGCTGCTTGAGGACAAAGTGTGTATTTATTCTCCTCACTTCTCTCCCTTAATTGATAATTAGTAAACATTAGCTTGTATAAATGTTGCTGTCAAACATGTGACACTCTCTTCTTGCTCACACTACTTAGGTAGATGCCGTTGTCGTCCTTTCCCGGTGTCTCGTTAGCCCTCATCCTGTGTCTGATTCTTACTAGATCTGAATACCACAGCTGCAACGGCCCGAGTCCTCATCATTGGAGCCACTAACCGACCGGACTCCTTAGACCCTGCTTTGAGGCGGGCAGGAAGGTTTGATCGAGAGATATGCCTTGGGATCCCAGACGAAGCCTCCAGGGAAAGGTACACTCTTGTCAGATGAATTTTACTAACATCTGAACTGAACACTTTGGAAACGAGGAGGGACAAATACCACATAACCTTTTTACTCTCTTCGTTTTTTGCGCCAGTAACTTTGATTTTGAATCTAGGGCTGGTGATGTTCGGTTGGCTGATCAGCTAAGGGACAGTGTGGGAAGGCATGGGATGGAGCCGAGCTTGCTGACCTGCGTGGAGGTTATGTCAAACACCACACTCATCTGTTGTGCTAACCTACCTAAGACCACAGGTTTTATGACAAGAGGCAGCTGGAGAGCTGCAAGCTGTATGTGTTCGTTGCAGGGCCATCCTGTCCTAGGAGGTGGGGTTGAGTGTCCACAGAGCAGAGAAATGTCCACCAGTATCTCAGGAAGCAAAGACCGCACAGGAGGCATTGTTGAGGCTTAGGAGCAGGAATCCCACAAAGAGTTCTCCTGTAATACTGGGTTCTTGGTGGCTTGTGGCTTAGGTTCGGGACACTAGCTGTGGCATCTGTGGTCCCCAGCAGCTTTCTGGAAGAATGGTGTGCAGTGAGGGGACAGTCCTGGGACGACGAGGGAGGGAGCAGTGCAGGTCAGGAGGCTGGGGGTGCAGGAGAAGTGCTCACAGGGCACATGGGGAGAAAGGGGGAAGGAACGCATTGTCCTTCCTCATGGTTTTGGATCATTGGCTGGCATCTTCCTCTGCTGCCATCGTCACAGTCAGGCGTGTGCTGATTGCATTCCCACACGTGTGGTCCTGCACATTCAGCCATTCATGTTTATCCACGTGTGCTTAGACTCGCGGCTCAGTGATATTTAACATGTAAGTGGTTCCTGTTTATTCAGCAAACACATGTTGAGCATTACCTCAACATACAGTCTGTTCTGATTTCCCATTTGCTTCCAGAATGTACCTGTTTAGTTGTTTGTGTAGTTTTGTGTTTTACCTAACATCCACTCTGGGATCGAACCTATAACCTCACCTGCCTCCTCGGGGAGGAAGCGTGTTCGTGACGTCAGTACTTTCTAGGTGCCTTGAAATTTGAATGTTCCTGATTGTTTCCTCCTGACGACACTCAGGTTAGATGCTTTGAGTAGGAATACTCCCTGGGCAGTGAGGTGTCCTTAACATCATGTAGGGAGGCTCACAGTGTCACTTCTTGAGGAGTCCAGTCACTCTATTAGGAAGTTTGTCAGAGTTTCCTCCTCTAATGGTGCCTTTTTCTTGTATACTTAATGGGATCCAGATATTTCTGGTATCTACATTTAGGATGGCTGCCTTTGTCAATTTGTCTAAACACTATTGTAGACTCAGAGTGAGCTCTGTAGGCACTCCTGGCATAGTTTCATGGAGGCTGGGCACTCCGGCTTAGTCCCGGAGGCCAGCACAAGTTGTCAGAAACCGAAGACGGTGTTAAGTGTCTACTGTGCTTAAGGCCACCTGGGGAGAGCAGGGTTCAAAGCCTGAAAGAGGATGACTATGACTCTTGAATATAATTACAAGTGAGAATCTTTTAAGGAAGCATATTTTAAAATATTTTTATTCTTGGGATCCCTGGGTGGTGCAGCGGTTTGGCGCCTGCCTTTGGCTCAGGGCGCGATCCTAGAGACCCGGGATCGAATCCCATATCGGGCTCCTGGTGCGTGGAGCCTGCTTCTCCCTCTGCCTATGTCTCTGCATCTCTCTTTCTCTCTCTCTCTCTCTCTCTCTGTGTGACTATCATAAATAAATAAATTAAAAAAAAATAATAAAATAAAATATTTTTATTCTTGTAAAAAACACATAAAACTTATCATCATAACTTTTTAACTATATGTTTTAGTAATATTAGTTTTATTCACTTTGCAGCAAGTTTCTAGAACTTTTTCATCTTGCAATTTCAGCCTTGGAATTCAGTACCTATTTCACACCCATTATCCCCTAAGAAAGAGTTTTTCTTTTTTTCCTAAGATTGTATCATTATTATTACTTAAAAATATATTTATCTGAGAGAATGAGCAAGTGCACACATGTGCACACATTCCAGAGACCATAATCCTGAGATCATGATCTGAACCAAAATCAAGAGTCAAGACGCTCAACTGACTGAGCCATCCAGGCACTCCTAAGATTTTAATTATTTTTAAGCAATCTCTACACCTAATGTGGGGCTGGAACTCACAACCCTGAGATCAAGAGTCGCACACTGCAGCGACTGAGCCAACCAGGCGCCCCAAGAAAGAGTATTTCTGATTGAATTTTTGACAAAGGCAGTATGCAGTTTTCCTACTTTTTTACTTGTGTCTAGCTCTGAGTGCAAAAGCAAAATAGTTATATCATTGTATGCAGATAACGTGTTAAATTCTAAGATGGGGAAAATACATAAGTAGAATTGAGGTATGTCAGTGTATCACCAGTTGTTAGAAGGTCATTCATTAGTTGAGGAAATATTTAAGTACCTTTTTGTGGACTAAGGAGGGAGAAACAGTGGTTGACACTTCAGTAATTAGTGTGAGTGACTAAAAGAAAGACGAGTACAAAAAGATAAAAACAGGGTCTTAGGGAGGATGTATCAGGCAAAGCAGACCTGGTCTAGGGGTTCTTAAAGGCTCTTCTGAGGAAGCTGAGACTTTAAGAGTAATAGCAGTGAACTGATCACATGGCAAGTGAGGGTATTCCAGGCAGGAGTAGCACGACTAAAGGCCCCATTGTGACCAAGCCCAGTGAGTCCAGGTACCTGGAAGACACTATGGCTGTAGAAGAAGAGAGAAGGTGTGAAAAGGCTATTGAGGTACACAGAGGGCAGTTCAGGTACCTCTGGTAAGGACTTTGGACTTCTCTGTGAGAGGTAGGAAGGAATTAAAGCAATTAAATTAAGCAGGACACTGATGGAAACAGATTTTCTATTTTGAAAAGATCACTATAGCTACAGCATGCAGAATGAATGAAAGAAGAACAAGAGTGGGTTCTGGTAACCCAGGGAGGGGCTCCTATAAATCCATATGAGATGGCATTGGGATTAAGAAGGTGGGAATATGGGTAGATAACTAAAGCATGGCGGGGGCATGGCTGGAGTGGGTACCAGGTGGCGGGAGTGTGGAGGGGGCACGGCTGGAATGGGTACCAGGTGGCGGGAGTGTGGAGGGGGCACAGCTGGAGCAATCAGTCATTTTGCAAGTAGAGCCAGTGCGTTGCATTTCTTGGCTGAACAAATGCATGGAAGGGGGGGCTATGATTGAGCAGAAGGGAATATTCCCAGGTCTCTGATTTCAGCATCTGTGCTGATGGTTTTCTCTGAGGGGATATGAAATACTGTAGATGAGCAGTTATGGAAGAGGATTTGGGGAGGGATGAAGTAGATCAGGGCAGTTGAGCTTGGCATGCTTGTAGGCTGTCCACATAGAGTTGTCAAGTTGGCAGTTGGACAAGTACTGAGCTCTGAGGAAGGGAAAGCTGGGGAATCATCAGCACATTAAAGTAGACCAGCAGGACCTGAGCTTGAGGAGCAGAGGCTGGAAGCCCTGGGGCAGGCTGAAAGTACAGAAGGAGTGGCCAGAGTGCCAGGAAACGAGGATGTCTGTAATGGGAGTGAGGGGAAGCGTATGTTTCCCTCAGGACGGAGTCATGAGAGCTCAGGGCTGGGAATTGTTTCTAGACCTGAGCACCTGGTGGCCCCAGTGACTTGAGCTGTGCGAGGAGGCCAGTTGGGCAGTATCCCAGTCGAGTGGTTGAGTGGAAGGAGTGACCCAGTGGACTTACGTGATTCGCTCAGGGGAGGTGTGACTGCAAAAGAGTACAGGGAGGTGGTTGTGCGCCAGGGATTTTGGGGTGTTGGGGACTTTTTTAGGATGCAGCAGGTGGGAGGAATGGGGGCTGGAGCCCGTGTGAGGTCCTGGCTAGGGTGCAAGGGCTCCTCTGTTGGAGTGGCAGTGGAGGGAAAAGGGTGAGATGGCCAGGGGGCTTGCTGGAAAAGGGTGTTTCCTCCGGGAATTAAGCAGAGAGAGCATGTGGTGAAAGTCAGGCATGTGACCCATAGAGGTTGGAGGAGGATGAGGGTCTTGACTGACTCAAGATGAGCCAGCTAGGATAACAGGGTTTTAAGGCTTTGTTTAGGGTTGGCGGGGGAGGGTGCCCATAGGCCTGGTCTTGGGGTTTCTTTCCGTGAGTAATGCTCAATGGTCCAGGTCCAGGCAGAGACGGAGCTGAGATTTAGGATTTAAGAAGAAAACCTAGGCCATAGGGTCTGAGTCATAGAAAACAGCAGCACTTGGTAAAGGGTGAGCTCAGGTACCCACTGACCTCCAGAGCAAGTGGGCGAAAGACCGTGGCCCAAACATGGGGTGCTCTAGCATGTGATCTCAGAGGTCAGCAGGTCCAGGTGACGGTGCTGTCCAGAGGTGGTGGTACCAGGACCTGGAGACCAGGAATCCCAGCTTTGCTTTTGGGCCTGGGCCTTTTTCTGGATAGCCAGTGTTCACTAGCTCTTGTGTGTTTGTTTGTGATGAAGTAATCGTAGGGATGGTGCCTCATTTTATCTGTAAGATGGTGAAAATGTGGTCACTTTGAAAGGCTTCTGGCAAGGACTGCGTTAAGCACAACTTCCGACACATAGGAGTTCTAAGGTAGCTGTTGATGTTTTCCTGGACTTGAAAAGCATCCTGTTATGGAAAATCCCCGTGTACACAGAGCAGTCTGGTACAACTGTCCCAGTTTCTGTTACTGCAGAACAAACCACTGCAACATGGAGTGGCTTAAACCAGTCCTTTAACTAACTGTCTCCCACAAGTCCTATGGGTACAGGACTCAGGTTCTGTCTCAGGGAGAGACAGCAGCTGGAGCTTGGAGCTGCAGGGCTGGGCTTACCATGAACCTGCTTGTCCATGCGTCTCTCTTCACCCCACCTCCGCAATGTGGCCCCCTTCACGGGACCCCGTGGCCACGATTCTTGTTGTCCTGTTCTGTGGACTCAGGAGAGGCACCAGAGGCCCCACCTCCCAGTCCCAGGAGGGCTTGAAAACTCTGACACTAATGAGCCCATGTCTCATCACCCAGTTTCCATCTTGTTCTATCTATCCCCCTTTTCCTAGAGCATTTTATTTTATTTATTATTTATTTATTTTTTAAAAGATTTTATTTATTCATGAGAGAGAGACAGAGACACAGGCAGAGGGAGAAGCAGGCTCCTTGCAGGGAGCCTGACATGGGACTCAATCCCGGGTCTCCAGGATCAGGCCCTGGGCTGAAGGCAGCGCTAAACCACTAAACCACCCGGGCTGCCCATCCTAGAGCATTTTAAAGCAAAATCCAGGCACTGTTCATTCCAACTATAAATGCTTTGGTGTCTAATGGATAAAGACTGTTTAACATCTCACAGTACCGTGACATACATCACAAACAATTCTTTAATAGTTCTAATACCCAAACCATACCCACAGGTTTGTGGTGTCTAATCATATTATGAATTTCAAGGTAACCGTATTTAGCATTTTCATTTCTCTGTATAAATAACTGTTCCCTGCTGACCCAAGTCCTGTATCGGGATCGTGCTACCTTTCTTCACCATTTTAACTGGAATTCCTAGTTGTATTGTTTTCATTTGCTAACTTTCTTACGACTTTTTCCCATTCTGTTTCCTGAGTGTCTATGTACAGACATGTGTTGGTCTGTCCTGTGCCTTCTGTCACAGGGAGAGGCAGTGAGAAGTTATGTGTAAAGTCAGAGCAACAGTTCCTGCTGTGTTGTGAGTCTTGATGATTGTTTGATTAATATTCTTTTCACGGGTACTTTCTTTGATTGGCAGACCTTGGCTGACCATTCTGTTCTGAGACTGAGGCTGACGGGACACCTGTGGTGTGAGCTGTTTTGTTGAAGCCCGAGTGACACTGTAAAGCAGATAGATGGCCAGCTAACATTTTAGCTAGAAAACTCCAAATGTCAGTTTCTATAGATGGTTTTTGTTGAGTCACTTTAGATGTTTCAGAAACAGATGTTGAGGGGAGTCTAGGAGGCTCAGGCATGAAGAGTCTGCCTTTGGCTCAGGTCATGATCTCAGGGTCCTGGGATTGAGCCTTGCCTTTGGGCTCTCTGTTGGGTGGGGGGTCTGCTTCTCCCTCTCCCTCCCCCTGCTTACTCTCTCTCTCTTTCAAATGAATAAATAAGGGATCCCTGGGTGGCGCAGCGGTTTGGCGCCTGCCTTTGGCCCGGGGCGTGATCCTGGAGACCCGGGATCGAATCCCACGTCGGGCTCCCGGCGCATGGAGCCTGCTTCTCCCTCTGCCTGTGTCTCTGCCTCTCTCTCTCTCTCTCTCTGTGTGTGTGTGTGTGTGTGTGACTATCATAAATAAATTAAAAAAATTAAAAAGAAACAAATGAATAAATAAAATCTTTAAAAAGAAATAAAGAAGAAAAGAGAAGAAAAGAAAGGAACAGACGCTGAGACATCACTGCAGGTGCAGGTCTAGCTGCTGGTCTCCTGACACGGGCAAGGGGAGGAGTGAGGAATCGCACACCCCATCTTTCTGGCAGAGTGGGCCTTCTGGTCTTCTGAGGGCATGCAGAAGATGGGGGTCATAGTGCTTCTCATGCAGGGTTTCCAGAATGTGCTGTTTGGCTCTCCACTGTTGGCCCCTGTTTCTGCCGCCCAGCACCCAGATGGCCTCCAGTTCCTGCTCTCAGGAATCCTTCTCATTGGTGCACCACCTCAAAAAAGGTTAATTTGACTTTATCCCCTCTCACAGGTCATTTGTCATTCTCTGTCAACTTCATTTCTTCAGAAATGGTGGTTCAGGAGTACAGGCAGTCAAGTGTCTCTTGGCCTGTACGAATATAAGTGAACAATTGAATAAATAAATGGGTGACAAGAGGCAAGTCTCTGGGGCAGAATTCCAAAAGATCTACATGGATGCATTGCCCCAAAGGATGTAGTGTTGAGCTCCCTAATCCTTCAATGCCAGCTGGGCATGGCGACTTACTCCCAGAGAGTACAGTGTGGAAAGGGGGCCTAAGCTCCCAATGGAGACCCTGTCAAACTTAATGGCTAGCCTGGGCGTCAGAGTTCACATCCCAGCACTGAGGTACACGTGTGAGCCACGCTTCGCCTCTACGCTCTTCCCGAAAGCACATGAACTTAGTCTGAAATCCATGAAAGTATCAGACTTCTCCCATTTAGGGGGACTCTATAGAATCTGGGCCAATCATCCTCAGAATTGCCATTAGTAATAGGAGAGGAGTGTGGGGTACATGGAACTCTACTCTTTGCAGTAACTCTGTAAATCTAAAACTTCCAAAACAAAAGCTATATTTCTTAAAAATGAATTAAAAGTCATCCTATTTATCATCAAGCACAGTATTAAACCTTAATCATTTATTCTGAGAACCCCTTATTAATGGTTTGAATCTTTTTTAGGGCTTTACCGACCGTCGGGCATCAGCTAGAGCTGACACAGAGAGACCCATGTCAGGAGGCCTTTCTCTTCTTAGTAAGATTTGTAAGCATCAGAACCCCAGACACCTGTTTCTTTGGTGTCTATACGGAGCCACACTGGGGCCTGTCACCAAGGACCAAAGTTGGCAGCTTTTGAAAGACCTTATAAAACTAAAGACTGATCCTTTTTGTTGCTCGTTCTGTGGTTCGCTTCCAGAACAGCAGGGGTTGGTGTGGTGGGGAGTCCAGACAGCCATCTGGTTCCATCCACTGTGAGATTGGCTGCAACAGTCACTCTGCCATCTGGAAACTGGAAATCTCTTCATGGGTATGGTCTCCTTTGGAGTTTCCAGAGTATGGTGACTGGAAATACCCACATTTTTTTCAGAAAGAGAAGTTGTAACTGAGAAAGGGATAATACTTATCTTATGTTAGCTGTTTCTTATGGCATCTTGAGGATCTTAGTATTCTTGTGCGTGGCAGCAAAGAAGGTGTGGATCTTTAGAAAACAGTTTTAAGGTCGATCCTTTTGTGTTCTGCTGTGTAGAGTGAGTGAGTTTCTGTGGGTCAGTAATGTTTATCTGCTTCTGTTTACTTACATGATCTCCAGTGACTTTCTTGGAACTTACTCGCCATCCGCTCAACACTTGAAAATACTCCTCTTCCCTACAAATTTGGAAATTCCAGAATGCATTTGCTTGTCCAGGTTAACTTGTAATATCACGGTACATACGTCGTAATATATAACACGTGGGCAGTTGGTGTCGATGAGCCACTGTTCCAAGGGTTTAGCGCATGTTCACACACGATGGCCCTTCAAATGAGCACAGCTATCACTTGTAGCTGAGAAGCAACAAAACCGAAGCCCACGAAGCAGTACCCAGCCTGGCCTTTGGAGCAGCAGAGCAGCCTCAGAGCTCCCAGCCCTTTATCTTGATGGCTTGTAAAGTTCCTCTTCCTGCAGATTGTCTAAGAAGGGCCTTTGAAGAAGGCCTTCTAAGAAGGGCCTGGAGGCCCACATGTCCGTGGCTGGTACCATGGCTCTGCTTCAGGCCAGCAGACTTTCTTGCACAGGGAGTACAGTGAAGCTGCAGAAGGAACTGTCCTAATATAAAATTGGATGTGAAGACGTGTATCAACACAGCTTTTTTTTTTTATAAAGATTTTATTTATTCATGATAGACATAGAGAGAGAGAGAGAGAGAGAAAGATAGGCGCAGAGGCACAGGCAGAGGGAGAAGCAGGCTCCATGCCGGGAGCCTGACATGGGACTCGATCCCGGGACCCCAGGATCGCGCGCTGGGTCAAAGGCAGGTGCCAAACCACTGAGCCAACCAGGGATCCCCCTCAACACAGCTTTTTGTGCTGAATAGAATTCATGGTATACTTGAATCTGGTGGCTTTTATTTCTGGCAGATGTCCATTTAGTCTACTCTCAAAACGGAATTTACCTCAAATAATCAGTAGTTTGTTTCTCCTGGTGGGTCAGGAATCTAAATTTTTTTGCCCCTGTCTTTTCTACAGAATACTTCAAACTTTGTGCAGAAAACTAAGACTTCCAGAAACTTTCCCTTTCCGTCACTTAGCGCACCTAACGCCGGGCTTTGTTGGTGCTGATCTGATGGCGCTCTGCCGAGAGGCAGCTATGTGTGCAGTCAGCAGGGTCCTGATGACGCTGCAGGAGCAGCAGCCCACAGATCCTGAGATGGGAACATTACCCTCCAAAGGAGGCCAGGAAGACCGGGTTGGCACTGAGCCGGCTTCTGAAACACCGGTGCTCTCTGTGCAGGTACTGTAGCCGCTCCTTCACAGGGGATGTGCAGCCGGGGTTGGTGGATGTGAGGTGCATGGTTTTCTGTTTTGCTGGCATTTTATCCATGGAATGATTCTCCGTGACACCTAGAATGTCTATAGTTTCCAAGCTACAAGTTGTTTCACGTTTTTAGCTGATCCTGAATAAATTCATTTTACAACATGGATGATGAAATTGTGGAGCAGGGGTTGGCAAACCATGGGCTGCCTACTCACTGCTTGTTCCTGTGCACTGAAATTACAGGGGAATTAAGGCAGATGCTTAATTCTTTGCTCCGGTATTTGCACATTGCCTCCCTGCTGTCACACTTCCTGGCAGAGTGTGCACGCGGTCCCTGTAGTGACAGCATACAGCCCACAGAGCTTCAGTGTTTACCCTCCAGGCCTGGACAGCTGCTATAGGAGCACTGGGCACTTAGTTCTATTTTCTGGTTACCTTCTGGTTACGTGGACCAGCGTGGTCTACGGGCATACTTGTATCCGTGAGCTTGCTTGCATGCGGCTCTGTTGACAGCCCACGTCAGTCCAAGGTCGGCGCTACAGCTGTGAGCTTGGTGCTTCATGAAAACTCAACACGTTTTTGTAGCACTTTATGGTTTGCATAGGGGCTTCGTATGGCTTCGTAATCAAAGGAGCTCAGTGTGAGAGACTATGGCTTGTACAGGTCACATGGCCTCTGCTTTCCAGAGCAGGCATCCAGTCTTTGGTTTTAAATGTCTTCCTTCCTTGCTGATTGCGAACCACAGTCCTATCTGTTAACATTAACAGTAAGCATAGTCCTTATATAATGCTGTACATATGTTAGGATATTAGGAATTGAATTACACAGAGTTACTTTTCACTCGTTCTTTTATATTGTTCACGAAGCAAGAAGTCTGCCTTTGAGGCTCAAGATTCAGGGTAGTACTAGGAAACTGGCCTTCTTCTGTGTGCTGAATAGACTACCGTGAATTCACCATGCCGTGAATTATATTGCCACCAGAGTCACTTTATTTTCATTTCCTCAAAATTCAGCTGCTTTTCTATTATTTATAAGTGAAAAATGGGAATCCGTGGCTGTGGGAATGAACATTATTAGCTGCTGATATCGGCCCGGCTAGCTGTGGTGTGGCATGCGAAAGTCATCCTCCTGCATTCCATTAGTCCATGGACCTTCCCCGACCCAAGTCGGATGGTCTCGGCAGAGTAAAATAAATGACTGTGTCAGTGGAGAAAGTTGTTAAAACACACAAAAGCTCTATAGCTTAAAGAAATATTGCAGGGCAGCCCCGGTGGTGCAGCGGTTTAGCGCCGCCTGCAGCCCGGGGCGTGATCCTGGAGGCCCGGGATCGAGTCCCACGTTGGGCTCCCTGCATGAAGCCCGCTTCTCCCTCTGCCTGTCTCTCTCTCTCTCTCTCTCTCTCTCTAAATGAATAAATAAATCTTTTAAAAAAAAAAAAGAAATATTGCAGTAATAATTTTTAAAAGTACGAAATAACTTTTTCAGCAACCTTGGTAGTTTTTACTTTCCCCTCCTTTCTCCCCTCAGGATGAATTGCAGTGGCTGCTGGAGTTGCTGAGAAGCCAGGATCCACTGTCTGAGGAGCAGCTGCAGGGACTATGCATTGAATGGAATGATTTCACTGTTGCCCTGTCCTCAGTGCAGCCCTCTGCCAAGAGGGAAGGCTTTGTCACCGTCCCCAGTGTGACCTGGGCAGATATTGGCGCACTGGAAGATATCAGGGAGGAGCTCACCATGGCGATACTGGTAGGTGTGTCTGCCTGCGCTGTGGCCCAGTGCCCGGGTGTGCATACAAGGCTGCATATCTAAATGAGCTTGACCGTAGGCTTTCTTCCATGTGTCCTGGTGGATTCTCACGAAGCCTCCAGTGGTGATTTTTTCATTCTTCTGACATCTGTTTTAGACTTATTCTTTTTTTTTTTTTTTAATATTTTATTTATTTATATATGAGAGACACACACACATAGAGAGGCAGAGACACAGGCAGAGGGCAAAGCAGGCTCCATGCAGGGAGCCCAATATGGAACTCGATCCTGGAACTCCAGGATCCCGCCCTGGGCTGAAGGCAGATGCTTAACCGCTGAGCCACCCAGGCTTCCCTTTTAGACTTATTCTTATGGCTGTGCTTGAATTCTGTGAACATTAAAAAAAATATATATATATAGGTTTCAACCAAGAGCTGACAATTTGAGAAATATTTTCTTAACTGACACTCATTCAGGTCAAAGCAGTTTAGTGCCCATGAAACTGTGGATTGATTTTCATCCATGCTAACTTTTCCACTTTCCTGAGCATTCTGGTTTGTTACTGAAGTACAATCCACTTAAATATGCAGAGCTGCTAAAAGCGTAGAGGGGGCAGTGTCTGGCTCCTGACCCCGCAGGGCAGTGCTGCTTCTGATCCCCCAGGACGGCACCGTCTGAAGCTTTAGACCCTAAAGTTTAGGTAGCTTTAAAAAAAATCTTGATTTTAAGATGCTGAAGTGTTGTGTTTTTATGTTTAAAATGTTTCCAGAACTCATGCTTAAGTGTAAATTCCTCAGGAGCAAGGACTCCAGTGCTTACCACCAGATGCCCCATGCTGGTCAGTAGCATGCATCTGGAGATACGTGATAGAATACACATTGTAATGACCAGTGTGAGTGTTGTGCTCTACAGGCACCCGTGCGAAGCCCCGAGCAGTTCAGAGCGCTTGGATTGATGACTCCAGCTGGGGTCCTCCTGGCTGGCCCCCCTGGCTGCGGGAAAACGCTCCTGGCAAAGGTACGGTGTGAGTGTGGCCGCACGTGTTTCCTTTCGTGCTTTCAGGGAGTAGAGTAGGGATTTAATCTCCATCGTGCAGTGAGCGGGTTTTATGTAATGTCTGTTACAAGATCCTTCTAGCAAGTCTGACAAATTTTCTTCAGGGAAGTTTCTCACTTTAATTATGAAAACCACATTATTGGGAATTTGCAAAAGGAAAAGATTTTTCCATCAGCCATCACCTCATCAGTTTGAACACAGCAGTTACCCCATTTTCTCTTTTTCTGGTTTTTAGTGAGTACAGTTGCGTACTTGTATGTAGCTGACTTAATTTCTTGCTTTCACATAACTTACCACTCATAGGAAATATTTTCCTCTATGTTCCTTATAATTGTCATTTTAAATAATTGTGTTTTTTTCTCAGTAGAAAAAAACAGAGAAGTAAATGGGGGACACACTCCTTGTACCTCTCGCCGCTGACCACTATTTCATTCTGTGGTCAGTCCTTCCAAACGTCCTCTGTATGTGCGTGTCACAATGACACGTATGTGTACCTTTTTTTTTTTTTGTATGCACATGTTTGGGGCAAATAAAAGGTTTTTAAGATGTTTTCCCCGCAAAGCAGTATTCCTTGAACATCTTCCCATGTCAGCATGCATATGTCTCTGTATTTTTATGTCAGGGTAGTACTCGGACCTAACGATATGCTACAGTTTACAGAAATGACCCCCACTGAAACTCTACATCGAATAGTCCTGTACTTAACTTTTTTTTTTTCACCTCAACCGATCATTTTATTACAACACATTCCTAAATAATTTATCAGTAAAAGGAATGCATGTTGTTAAAGCTTTTGACTCATTACCAAATTACATCTGCTCCATCACCAAAGTGCCTTCCAGACAGTATGTATAGATCCTACCCAGTCAGTGTGAGTTAGCGAGAGCCAGTAACACTGCTTTTCATCTCTGACCGTCTGGGAGGCAAAAGTGGTGTCTTACACTATTTAATTCACATTTTAAAAATCACCAGTGGGCTTGTCAAACAGTATATTTATTGGCTGTTTTTCTTGATGAAGTGATTATTCATATCCTTTGCCTATTTTTCCATTGACGTGCATATGATTTTTATAATCATTCTTCATGTATTAAAGTCTGTTACATTTGTGTTTATCAGTTTATTTTGGCACTTTTGACTATTCATATTTTTGACATATTTCCTTTTTGTGGGTTTTCATATTCATGTGGGCAAATTTCTCAGTCTATGACTTTTTTTTTCCTTTGGAGTCATACATATTAGAACCCTCTCCTATACGTTTTATTGTCATTTTTAGTGTCTGTATAATGTTTCATCTATAATTTACTTAGCTTTTCAGCTTTTAAAAATATTTGAATGACTCATAAATAGGAAATTAAAATTAGTAAGTGCCACAGTAGCCACATAATTTGTGAGTGCTTAGTAAATATCAGATATCCACATATTAAATAATATATAGGTGAAGTATTCCAAACTTATTTCTACTGGTACTACTAAATTTCCTTGCTCGATGCTCCCAGTACTCTTACACGGCATGGCTGTACAGGGGCGTGGGAACCACTGGGGGGGGGTGCAGAGGGCACCACAGTTGTTCCGTGCTTCTCAAACGACACAGCCAGAAAAAAGGTCCAGCCTGTGAACATGTAAATTCACCAGGTGGTACCTGTCCCTGGCCTGGGTGCCTTGTCATGTTTGTTTTTTTTAAATTAGTTAGATCTGCCTGTGAGTAGCCCTGCCCATGGCAGAAAGACAGCTTGGGTTCTTAGAAATCCATAGACAATGTTAAATCATGGACCAGATTTCCTCTTTGCTCAGCCCTGTGGCACTTGTCTGTGTGGTCACTTTCTGACATCTGCCCACCCAGAGCAAAGAATCTCACCCAGGACTCCGTGGGTGGACTTAAGGTTCACTGGGTCTGTGAGCCCAGGCAGTATCTGTACGGCCGGGAGGGTTTGCAACTGTGTTCAGGTTCTCCAGGAGGTACATACCTGGAAATCTTGAAACAGTAGAAAGTGTCCTTGAACGGCAAAAGCAAAATGTTATTACAGGAAAGTCGTAGAACCATGTACTAGTTGGAACTTAGGAACCTGGACTTGGTCATAAAATGAAGGTTTGGGATAATCTTGGTGATTTTGTTAACTCAGGAACACAGTAAGATAATAAGATGTTTCTAAACACTGGTCCATAGAGAGTATGTGAGTAGCATAAAAGCGAAGGCATGTGATGTCTGGCTCCAGCACACTGCAAGCTGATGATGAATGAGGATAAGTCAGCGAGTGACCTGGAACGCTGGCATGGAAGCCAACAGCTCCTGACACTACGCAGGCAGCTCACAGAGATGTCCATGAAGAAAACATAAACTGTGACTTGACTTAGGAGACAAGATTTCCAATAGTTTCAGAAACTCCTGGGGGCTTTAGTGGGTTAAATCTAGTAATCTGGCACCTGGAAGCTGAAAACCTAGTGCGGACGCATCAGACTTCATTAGATATGGACTTGACTCTCCTCTTCATGTGGTGTTGTATGGAAAGCAGGGCAATGATTGAGCGACGTGGGCTACCCACGGGCCTAGCACTTGCTCCATCACAGAGCTCACAGGCATTCGCTCTTGCAGCAGTACTGACCCACTGATGTCCTCTGTGCTGGCAGTGGTTTGGGGTGAACGGGGCATCTCCTCTAGTGGGGTTTACTGTCCATCTGGAAGGGACAGGCAGGAGAAGAATGAAACAGAAGCCTTGAAAGGCTGAGAGGGTGGGTGGACTGTTTTAGATAGTGATGCTCAAGGGATGCCGACATTTAGCAGTATCCTGAGGGATGAGCCAGCCACCTGAAGCAGCAGGGAAAGAAGGGGAAGGCTCTTCCAGGCAGAGGGTATGGCCGTTGCAGAATCCCTGAGGTGGATAGGGCTTGGTGAGTTCGAGATCAAGAGAAAGCTGGTGGCTGGACTGAGGGAAAACTGCCCTGTCCCAAATGACCAGCTTATGAGCTGCAGTAAATATTCCACCTTGTACTCACAGATGAATGGGAATCCTAGGGAAACCATATGGTGGGCATTTTTACAAGCGTGCTGGGTGTGCTGTGAGAACGAGTCAGAGGAAAGCAAGGTGGAGAGGAAACCAGCCAGGGTCTGTCCACCGTGCTTTGGTTTGTGGGTTGTTTTTTTTTTTTTTTTTTTTTTTTGCCTGTCCAGGCAGGGTATGAGGCAGTCTGCGCAGGAGGTGCATGAGGAGAAGAGTGGTGGACTTGTACATTCTGGCATCAGAGCAAACAGGGCTTGTGGATGGACTGGACCATATGACAAGGCAAAGGGTCAGGGGGACTCCGTGGCTTTGGTCTAAAAGCTGCCTTAGTTGGAGGCATGGAGTGTGGAGGGAGTTGGTGAGGCATCCTGCTCTGGAAATGACGGATTTGAGATGTGAGTTCAATGTGGAGGGAGATGCCGAGCAATTTGCTGGGTATAGATCTGGAGCTCTGAGGTCACGCTCCCAGGAGCAGAGGTCCTGGTCCTCGTGGAGCTCTGGGTGATTTTGCTCAGGTTTGGTCTCTGCGTTCTGGTGATCTCTGTCAGGTTCTTATACACGTGTAACTGTATGTCTCTCCTTTGTGCTTCTCTTGGGCTTTGAGCCATACTGTTTAATTGTTATTAAAAATAATCTGGAAACACTGACCCTTGGTCAACATGGATACTGATGTTTTTGAATTTGGGTTCACATGCGAATGATTGCTTTCACTGGGCGAGATGTGCTTGGATGCAGAGATAATGGTTTCACTCGAATTCCAACCTGGGGCTAGGAATGTGCAAACTCGCTACATAAGCAAGTTTATGGAAACAACCCTGGCATAAATGTTCCTGTTGTTTCTGATTTCTAGTCTGTCTGAGTGATTCTTAGAAAGTTTTAGGTGAACATTCCATTGATTTTTTTTTTTTTTTTACCCATCTGTGTCCTGCATCTAATCAGGAAAACACAGCTGTAAAGGAGGGGAAAATAGCATAAGCTGCGAAAGCCCCCGCGCTGTCACAAATGAGTTACTTGGTTCTGTGTTTGTCTGATCTGTGTCCTTTGGTCTTCTCTCCTCAGGCTGTTGCAAATGAGTCTGGCCTGAACTTCATATCTGTCAAGGGCCCCGAGTTGCTGAACATGGTAAGTCTCCGTGGCATCAGCTCCGCGTGTGGGTTAGGAGACTGGTGGCCACTCCAGGGACGGGCGGAGCGTCCTCGGCCCTGGAAATGGACACGGCATTTTGATGAAATCTCCACTGTAAGCATGGAGACGTTAGCTGTCTCTGCTGTACCGAGCATGTAACTGTTATCCTCAGTCTTCAGCACTGAGCCTCCGTTTTCTCAGCTGCAAAATGGAAATAACCAAACGGCTGACATTTTAAAGTATGTGCTCCACGCCTAGTACTTGTCACATGTTGGACACACAGTTTTGAGCTGTATGGGTTTGAGCTGCCCACTTAGTGTGGAGACTTTTCGATAAATACAGTTCTGTCAGTGTGTTTTCCTTAGGATTTTCTGAATAATATTTTCTTCTCTTGCTAACTTTATGATAAGAATTCAGTGTGTGATATATGGAACCTATGAATAGGGGCCAGTCGACTGTTTTTGTTGTCCGTAGGGCTTCTGAAGGCTAACAGCAGGCTGTTAGTGGTTAAATTTGGAGGGAGTTGAAAGTTAAATGTGGATTTTCCATGGTGATCGGGGGAAGGGGGTTGACGCCCCAAATCCTGCATTGTTCAGTGGTCAACTATATTATTCTTCAACAACCCCGTGAGATACGAGTTATTATTTCCTGATTCCGGATTTCTGAACAAGGAATTGCACTCTACAGGCAGTACACACCTTGGCCAAAGTCTGAGGGCTAAGGCTGGAGCTGGGTTTTATGACTGCTGGTTGGGTTGCCTTGTCCTGCTGTCCAGTGGCTCAAATGACCTAAGGAGTTGTTTTTTTTTAACTGGTGTGGAGCCTGACATGGGGCTGGAACTCACGACCCTGAGATCAAGACCTGAGGCAAGATCAGAGTCAGATGCTCACCTGACTGAGCCACCCAGGTTGCCCCTTAAATGGCTCAAGTTTTGATAAATAAAAGTACTTTGGGGGAAAAATAGTACATACTATTATAGTAGTAACTTCTTTCTGTATTTAGCAGTTTATATAGTGTCTCAAATTTAAGAGATTTTGAGTATCTTATTATTTCTTCATCCCTGTGAGGAGTAAAAGGGCCACTCTGTCATGTAGTAAAACAAAGAAGTGTCCTATCGTTTGTTTTAAAAGGCCTTTTAGGGCAGCCCTGGTGGCTTAGCGCTTTAGTGCCACCATCAGCGCGGGGTGTGATCCTGGAGACCCAGGATCAAGTCCCACATTGGGCTCCCTGCAGGAAGCCTGCTTCTCCCTCTGCCTGTGTCTCTGCCTCTCTCTAATTCTCATTAATAAATAAATAAAATCTTATAAGAAATAAATAAAAATAAAATATCTAAAAAGACCTTTTAAGTTTATCCCTTACCAGTTATGTGTTTCCTGTTGTATGTGTTACTTTCCTCCTAATGTAAGGATTCACATTTAAGCATTTCCTGTGGGCTTTCTACTTACGTCTATACTTCTGATGTGGTTGATTTCTGTGTTCTGGCAGACGATGTATCAGAAGTGAACTGTGCAGGAAGAGGATTGACAGGGGTTGAGGCTGGGAAAGAGTTCTGTGAGCAGTGAAGGGCTGTAATCTCCAGAACAGCAGAGAACTGTTAACTTTATTTTGTTAACTTTATTATGATATTAAGTATCCCAAGCATATAAGAAGTTACAAAGAGTAAGGTAATGAACCTTCTTGTATCTGCCACCCAGCTTTAAAAATGACACAAAACCAAGAGGCTTGAAGCCCCCTGCAGACCTTTCCTAAGCATGACCCCATTCTCTCTCCTGTAGAATTTACCATAATCCCAAATTTGGTGTTTATTAATTCCATTAATTTCCTCATTTACTGTATGTGTGTTTATCCCTCAACAACCTATGGTATTATTGTACATGTTTCAGAAATGGTTAAGGGACCACTGGAAATTTGCATACTTACTGGTTATTTAATGTTAAGAAAATAAGTTTGAAGGGAAGTTGTGAACTTAGGAATGCAGATGAAGAGCATGCATCCCAGTGAGCACACAGTGAGGTAGGCAAGTCTGGAGTCCATGTATTGCACACCTGAAACCAATATGACACTATATGTTAACTGTACCAGGATTAAAATTTAAAAAACAAAAATTAGTTTTGAGTGTGATGATGTGTAATTATGTCAAAAACCATCGTTTTTTAGAGATAGTGAAATACTTACACATCCAATATGGTGTCTGGGTTCTCCTTCAAAATGCCAAGAAAGGAAAGCAGAGAGACTGTGGATGAAGCGAGGTTGGTCAGGAATTGAGCTGATGATGATTGAAGCTGGGTGATGGGCATACTTGAGACTCTGTACTTAGGCCTACTCTTCTTATGTTTGGAAATCTTAAACAGTAAAGCAAAAAAAAAAAAAAAACCCACTTTATGTTAGTGGTACGTGTACTCTTGTAACTTGGTTTTATTGTTATTTTTGTTGAACATTATAATTATTTCAGAATTCCTGAACCCAATTCCAATGGGGGGAGAGGTTCTCCCAAAACCATCAGGCAATCTGAGAAATGGCGAGGTGTCCAAGAACTGGACTCAGTTCAACCCCATTCTGTAGTCTGCCTGGACACAGCAGCAGATTCCATGGGTTAGGGGCTCAGTCCTGCGGGCATGTCCTCTGCCCTCTGCTGCAGCCACCAGGCTCAGGCTGTCACCTGTGTTCCTGACCCACCTGCTGTAGTGGAGGTTCCAACAACTCTCCGCAGTTTCTTTTAATTTGCTAGAGCAGCTTGCAGAACTCAGGAAAATAACATGTGTTTATTGGAGTATATGATAAAGGTTAAGAATAAACAGCCACATGAAGAGACACAGAGAGCAAAGTCCCAAACAGGAGCCTTGTGGGCTCGGGCTCTGGCTCCAGGGCATGTGGGAGCAGATAGGCTCCCCAGGCAGAGAAGGACTAAAACTATCCTCTTGGGTTTTTATGGAGGTTGGATGACATAGTCCTAATTGGTTGAGTCATTAACCATTGGCTGGTTGAGTCACGTCCCAGGAGGTGGGAAGTGAGGAAACCTGGGAGTTCAGGCCTCTGACCACACATCCTCTGGCAGCCAGCCCCGCCCTTGGGTGGGGTCCAGATTCATCCTTATTAGCAAGATCTTGGTTCATGGTTGTGGCTCTGACGGTTCTCAGAAACCGGGTGACTATCAGGTATATCTGAGGAATATACTTGGTCATCTGAACGACCAAATAAATACTTCTTCTGAATCATTGTATCACAGGTGTTCTCTTTGTTGATGTTTGCCTTTCGCACATCAGTCTTCTGAGTGGTACTCCACCGAATGAATGTAACCACACTTTTTAAAACTCTGTTTCTGGGGATCCCTGGTGGCTCAGCGGTTTAGTGCCTGCCTTTGGCCCAGGGTGTGATCCTGGAGTCCCGGGATTGAGTCCCATATCAGGCTCCTTACATGGAGCCTGCGTCTCCCTCTGCCTGTGTCTCTGCCCCTCTGTCTCTCTGTGTCTCTCATGAATAAATAAATAAAATCTTTTAAAAATATAAATAAATAAAAATAAAAACTCCGTTTCTTTCTTGACGAATGTTTAAGTTGAACATTATATACGCACATCCTTACATACATCTAGGTGCTTATTTCCTCTACGGTATGTACTTGGAGGAGAATTGCTGTCTCTTGTCCCAGGGCTGTTGTTGCTGGGTTACACCTCCCCCAGCTGTGAACGAGGGTCCTTCCTTACATTCTCACCAGCGCTGGCACCGTCAGATCACTACTTTTCTGGGGAGTGCTAGCATTCATCTCACTGCAGAGCCCTGGCATTCATCTCACCACGATCAGATTTGTCTTCTTGGGGGAGGTATGGGAAGAGATCTGTAGCAGAGTCCCAATGATGGGGTGGGGTAGGGAGAGAGGTGGAGTGATCTACTGAGGAAGATTGACTTCTCTGGCTTAGAAAATGTGTTTGGTTGAGGGCATCTCTGACTCCATCTGGAATGGATGTGAGTCTGGAGTGCTGGGGAGATTTGGGGTGGCACCTGAAACCCTGGGGATGGACACAGTCTGCTAGGGAGAGTAAACTGAGGAGCAAGGCTCCCAGGGGCTACGGGACAAGGAAGGGAAATCTGGCAAAGCAGGCTGGTCTTTGAAGGGGGAGGACAACTTCTTCAATCTTGTCAATGTAAGGAGACCCGGTACAAGGAATAGAAAGTAGAACCTAGGGTTTGGCAACTGGAAGGTCATTAATGACTTTAGGGAGAATATTTTCAATAATTGTGTTGGCAAAAGCCAGATTATCAAGGTTGAAAACTGAATGGCGGACAAGGAATTAGAAGGGGTGCTTGGGTGGCTCAGTGGGTTAAGTGTCTGACTCTTGGTTTTATTTCGGGTGGTGATCTCAGGGTCCTGAGATTGAGCCCTGTGTCTGCTCAGCACAGCAGGGAATCTGCTGGAGATTCTCTGTCGGCCCCTCCCTGCCCCCCGACCTCCCACCCCACATGAACATACACTCTCTCCCTTTCTCTTTAAATTAAATCAATTTTTTTTTTTTAAATAAGGAATTAGGGTGCCTGGGTGGTTCAGTGGCTAAAGCATCTGCCTTCAGCTCAGGTCATGATCTCAGGGTCCTGGGATCCAGCCCCATGTCGGGCTCCCTGCTCAGCGGGGAGTCTGCTTCTCCCTCTCCCTTTGCCCCCGACTTGTGCTCACTCTCCCCCCCATAAATCAATCAATCAATCAATCTTTACCAAAAAAATAAGAAGTTAGAAATGATAGGTATAGGCTCCTTACTTGAAATATTTCTCTTTTTTTCTTACTTACTTATTTATTTATTTATGATAGAAAGAGAGAGGCAGAGACACAAGAGGAGGGAGAAGCAGGCTCCATGCCAGGAGCCTGACACAGGACTCGATCCCGGGACTCGATCCCAGGACTCCAGGATCGCGCCCTGGGCCAAAGGCAGGCGCTAAACCTCTGAGCCACCCAGGGATCCCTTGAAATATTTCTTAAAGGCCAAGATAGTGGGATTTTTTGTTGTTGTTCACTTATTTTAATCATTTTTGCCTTTGTTAAGATTAATTGACTTTTAATCTGTCCTTTTTTTCTTTTTTAAAGATTTGATTTATTTATTCACGAGAGACACAGAGAGAGAGCGGCAGAGACACAGGCAGAGGGAGAAGCAGGCTCCATGCAGGGAGCCTTACAGGTCTCCAGGATCATGCCCTGGGCGGAAGTCAGCGCTAAACTCCTGAGCCACCCGGGCTGCCCATAATCTGTCCTTTTGAAACTTTAGGTTTACCTTCCCCTAAATTAAGTTTTCCTTTACTTGGTCGTTTTGGTTGCCAGATCCATAGTCCTGGTGCCATACTGACTGTTCCCATCTGTCCTTGTTGGAGACTTTGCCTCTGCCAACGCACTGTTAGGTTTTGGGTTTGTTTGGGTTTTTTTTTTTTAGTATCTACTGATCATTTTGGCTCAGCATTCCAGATATAACTTTTGCTGACTCGGATTCTTTAGGAAAGCAACCCAGACTCCTGTTACTTCTAACTGTGCGTAGGGTGTGATGATGGAGACGAATGTGAAAGTGGCTTTTGCTTTCCAGGGACTTCTCTCTACAGCACAGTGAAGGCGGGCTAGCTGGAAGCCACAGTAGTAGAGGCACTATAAGGGAGACGGATAGGAAGACAGACCTGTTGGGACCTTCTTGAGTACAGGGAGCATTCGGGGCAGGCTGGAAAACAGTGCAAATATGAGAAATACTGAGATAAGATGGGCCAGGCGTGAGGGAAGGAAAGTCCTGCTTGTGGGAAAGAGTGAAACACTTGAATCACCATCGTCTGTGCTGTGTGTGCCTCGTGCCTGCGTTACTTTATCATAACAGCACAGCAAACACTTTGTGATGCAGTTGATGCCACAAAGAGTTCTCAGATACTGTCTTATTTAGCAATTTTATTATGAAAAAAACTGCTTTTCTTAACCAGTTGGAAATTTTACAACAATTTCTTATACTTGGCCAACAGTGAACCATACTCTCACATGTAACTTCTTGTACTGATTAGTCCTAATGCCATAGCTGCTTGTGAGTTGCTGTATTTCTTAACTGGTATTACTGTTTCATATTTTGATTTAGATTTTACATTTTTACTCATTTAAGTCATCTGTACACTCAACATGGGGCTTGAACTCATGACCCCGAGATTGGGAGTTGCACACTCCCCCACAGAGCCAGCCAGGCACCCCTGATTTAGATTTGAACCTGCATGTGTCCTGAGAAGGCTGTTGGAGACCTCACTGGCTCACCTACCTTCTCTGATGCCATGTGACGAAGTAGCCCTTACATTCTCAACCTGACCGTGTGGAGAACACAGTAGAGCAGCTAATGGCAGTTAAAATATTGTTGGATCCAGGAAAGTTACAGCTGGGTGTCTACCTGCATAAAGCTTAGGAGATCAGTTGTAAAATACAGCAGAGTTGCAGGATCGCTTTTGACCTGGAGACCTTACATTCACTTAGCCTTTGTTTTGTAAATGGGGAAATTTGTAAGCATCACTAATAATCTGATTTTATAAGTCAAACCACAAATTTGTTTTTATGCATCAAAAATGGGTAACTGTCAGCAGTTGCATGTGGTGCAACCTAATACTTCCTGGGTTCTGATACATACGTGTCATTTAAAACTAGTTTTACCATAATTTGGCCCAAACCCCAAGGTTAAACAGTCTCTGTTTTGTTTCTGCATGGCAGTACGTCGGTGAGAGTGAACGTGCAGTGCGCCAGGTGTTCCAGCGAGCCAGGAGCTCCGCACCCTGCGTGATATTCTTTGACGAAGTGGATGCCCTGTGTCCTCGAAGGTCAGACAGGGAGGTAGGTGTTAGTGCCAGAAGCTTTTTGTCGGTTCTTACAGTCATTTCCCAGAACGCTGAGATTCTGATAGTGCAGAAACCTAGTAATTCTAAATGAGGGTCCAAGGATAGCAGTTGTCTCTCAGCCTCTGCATCTTTTTTTGTCTCCACCATACTTGGGTTGCACGCATCTGGGTCACACCTGGCAAGTGACTGGGAATAGGAGTGACAGGACTTCCAGTGGCCCACCTCGTGATCATGACTCTTTTCAGGCAAGTAGGTTCTCGAGACAGGACAGAGTGTGATGTCAGATGGCCTTAGCACTGCCCCTTGTCTTCCCTGAACTCCACTGACATCACTTGGCTGAGTCCCCGGGGGTAGAAATTGTGATCAGTGAGTGTCTGGAAGCGCTGTCAGCCCAGGCACACTCATCTCAGAGTCTACGTCGCAGTGAGGCCTCACTTAAGGAATTTACAACCTTTTAGAAACAGGTAGTAAAGCCTATTGATCAGTACATTCATGGCAAGATGACTAAGCAAGTTATTTTATTTCACTTGTGGTTTATCTTCAGATAGTTGCTCTGTGTGTGCCTGTACGTTGTAAAACATTTATTAAATGCCTCATTTTGCTTCCAATCTCCAGAAGCCTTCCAAAGTCGCAAGAATAAAACTTGACTCATGTCTGTGTGGCCCATATCACAGCGGATATATGTTTCCTCCTCCACGAGTCCTTGCCCACATCCCAAACCTTCCCCAGCCTTGTCTCTGACACTGACATTGGTGGCCAGGGCAGAGGCCCTCCCTTGGTGTCCCTGCTGGCTGCCACATCCTAAATCTGTTGTGGGGATCCAGAGCAGAGCGCTGCCCTTCCCATCCTGCTGGTTGGGGTATGGTAAGCCCTGGACCTGACTCTGTTCTCTCTCCTCTTTGGCTCTGAATAAGCCCTGTGTTTGTCACCAACCCTTTCATGGGTTTGTAGCTTGTCATCACAGAGGGGTTCCTGAGATGTATCCAGGCTGTGGCCCGGGAACCACACTCCTCATTGTGGGCTTCTCTCGCTTTCTTGGCTATTTGCAAACACACCCATCAGTATTTCAGAACACATGCTTTTTTGACATTTTCACAGGAAGGGGATTCTGAAAATATGTTCAAGCAAGCCAGGAGCTGGAACATTCAAATACATTTGAATGTATTCTTTAATTATACAGGTTATACATGAACACATTCTTGTAACAAAATTCAAAAAATACAGTTGAATAGATCGAGTGTGTTTCTTCCCATCTTTCTCCCCGTTGCTGTCCTTGGAGGTGACTGCTGCCAACGTGAAACTGTTCATGTATTTGTTGTTCTAAAACTTTCTCTGTAAACTTAAAAACATTATGATTTTGAGTTGTTTTTTTTTTTAATGTGGTCATTCTTCTTGGTGATTTTCCCATGTACTTAAAAACTTAATTTTTTAACTGTTGCATAAATATGCCACAATCTGGAAGCAGATGTATTTCTTTAATGATTCCACTCTTTTGGACTTTCACATGCTTTCTAGTTGTTTCTCACAAACAAAACTGAAGTAACCTCCTTACACATACTTCTGTGCATATGGAGAGTTTTACAAATGGGGTATCGGTGTACGTGTGTGTGTATTGTGTGTTGAGAGCTAATACTAAATCATTCTTCACAAAAACTACCAGTTACACTGCCCGCTGACCGTGGGGAAATAACTATCTCCTGCACCTTTGTCAGCAGCATGTAGCACCCATTTGTAAAGTTTCGTCACATTTTTTTTAATGTTATTTATTTATGCAAAGACACAGGCAGAGGGAGAAGCAGGCTCTCTGCAGGGAGCCCAGTGCAGGACTTGATCCCAGGATCCTGGGATCACAACCTGAGCCGAAGGCAGATGCTCAACCACTGAGCCACCCAGGTGCCCCTAAATTTTGTCAATTTTATTGGCAAAACATGATACTAAATCTTAGTGTCCCTGATTTCTCTTCAGTGAATTTGTATTTCATCTTCTATAAATTGCCTGATTTGATACTTACACCCTTTTGCTCTGAAAAGTTTGTTTTGATTTATAGGAGCTTTGTGTGTGCCATTGTCCAGTTATGGGTGTTGATGTTGTTTTTCCCAGTCCTTTCACTATCTGTAATCTTTTTATTAATACAGCGTTATAATTTTGGCATAGTAAAACCTGTTCCCACACGGATTCTGAGGTTTTCATCTGCTCAGGGAGCATAGTGTTTGCTTTCTGCCCCGTGTCATGTCTCCTGGGAGTGGTGACTTGCACCAGCTGCTTTCTGGAGAAATCAGTGGGTAAACTCATTACCCCTCTGCCCGTGGACTTTGTGTTGAAAATGGGCAGTAATGACAAATACGCAGACACACCACTTGCCTCGTTTTCTCCAGTGTCCATTTAGAACATTACCTGACCATCCCCCTATCCACCACCTCCCTGGACCTTTTACTTGGGTATTGCCCCAGGATAGCTCTGCTCTGTACCGTGTGCTTCCAGGAGAAGAGGGAAAGCCTCCTGTCCCAGCCCAAAGATCTGGAGCATCTCACATCCTAGGGGCTCTCAACCCGCTGAGCTACACTTGCCTCAGGGGAAATCCAGTGTGGCCAGCAGATCTTTGAATGATTTAGAGGCATGAGACTCAGGTCAGCCAGGCATGCTGAGAGGCCTGGACAGGTGGCCTCTCTGAGCCTCAGCTTCCTTCTGGAACAGGGGATAATAGGATTCCAGGGAATTCCTGATGAGAATGTGTTTTGCACAGCTCCTTGGAAAATGATCGTTACCTCTTGGCAAAAGCTTATTCAAGTTAGCAAATACGTCATTTTGTATGGAAAAACATGGTATGCATATTTCTTCTTACGGGATCTGATGGAGCTATATTTATTTATTGCAGACAGGGGCAAGTGTCCGGGTGGTGAATCAGCTACTTACTGAGATGGATGGTCTGGAAGCACGGCAGCAGGTTTTCATCATGGCGGCCACCAACCGACCAGGTAAGGACTCAGGTCTCCAAACCTTCACCTTTTGAGAACAATGGGATTTATATCCTAGTAACAGAAGATTAGGTTTAGGAAATCCCTTTTTGGCTCATAAGTTGAAATAAAATCTTAGAAAACTTTCCTGGAAGCTCTAGTAAAATGTGGTATTATTGTCGAGGTTTTGTGAGATTGTTTCTGTGTTAGAGCTCAGAAGATGGTCTTGTTGACAGAAAACTCAGAATGTCCACCTTTGACCATACAGGTATTAGCAGAATTGATGTCCTGTGGTTTCTCTCGAGCTTATAGGAAATGAGAACCAGACTCTTCACTGTGACTGAAGGTTGAGGATAGGTTTTCAAGGCTTTATTCTGGCCCCATGTCCGTGCACCTGCATTTAACCTGTCCCTAAGGTTGCTTGTGAGCCTCAGCGCTGCGGGGTTTGGAACAGGCTCAGCACTTCAGGAGTGCTTCACGTGGCTCTTCCTCTTGTTTATTACTCGGTGTCCATGTGAGCCCCTGCGGCTGTGACTGTATCAACTGTATAGGCCAGCCGTTGAGCTGATGAGATCTTTCCTGTCTCATAAGTTACTTTGGCAGGTAGAACTTTGGTAAATTATATACCACCTCATTTTATTTTTTTTATTTTTTATTTTTTTAAAGACTATTCATTTGAGACCGAGAGAGAAACGACCTCATTTTATTTTTTTTTTTATTTTATTTTTTTTTTATTTTAAATTTATTTATTTATGATAGTCACACACAGAGAGAGAGAGAGAGAGGGGCAGAGACAGGCAGAGGGAGAAGCAGGCTCCATGCACCGGGAGCCCAATATGGGATTCGATCCCGGGTCTCCAGGATCGCGCCCTGAGCCAAAGGCAGGCGCCAAACCGCTGCGCCGCCCAGGGATCCCACGACTTCATTTTAAAATGAAAAATTGAAAAATGTGAAGGTTTATACTTAGATGATAGTAAAAGTACTATCTTTGGAATCAGACAGAGTGGGGTTTGAGTCCTGGCTGTGGCACTTTGTCTCTGACCCTTCTCTTTCAACCCCAGCCAGTCTGACTCCAATGGAATACTTTGTGGCTCAGCACTGACACTGACCACATGGAACTGGGGTCAGATCCTGCGAGTCAAGGGGTCCGGCCCCTCCAAGACCGCCCCCCCCACCAGCCCCGATGCCAGTGTGAGTGCTCGTGGGATGTCCGCACTTCTGAACAGCTGGCCGCAGTTGAAGCCGTCAATAATTCACTAGAACCATTAGTGGAATGCAGGAAAGTGTCATACAGTTGGCCCTTAAACACCTCCGGTTTGAGTTATGTGGACTCAGATCTGTATCTACTTAGAAAGGCAGGGTGTGATTCTCTGAAGATTTGAGAAATTTTCCGGGCTTCTTCCAGGACAGCTCTGTGTGTAACCTCATGACTGCTCCTACGTGGTCACTGAAAGTGCTCGTGGCCATGATGATAGTAGACACAGATTTTTCTGGATGAATACAATGCAGTCTGTAAATATATTTTCTCTTCCTAATGATTTCCTTATATATTTTCTCTACTTTGTTATAAGAATCCAGCATATCATACAGAGAACACTCAAAATCTGTGCTAATTGACTACGTTATTGGTGAGGCTTCCAGTCAACAGTAGCTGTAGTAGGTTTTTGGGGAATTGAAAGTTAAATGGAGACTTTTGAGTGGGGGATTCATCGCCCCTTACCCCTGTATTGTTCCCGGGTCACTGTACTTGAAGTTGCAGGACACACACAGGGCCAGGAGGGAGGTTGTGCAGACCTTTGGTGCTCCCTCCCCTTGGAACGAACCCATCCCCCTCCCAGCACCAGTGTGCTCATCAACCAGGAAGCTCTCCTGAGCTTTGCTTCCAGAGCTTCTGTTGAGTTTTCATTAACTGAACTCCTATCTCCTCCCACCCCACCTCACCCCCCACAGCCATCCCCAGAGGTCTGGCTCCAGATTCCAACCTTCTAATCTCAGGGTTGGTCTTTCTGATAACTGGCCCACTGTTGAGTTAGCTTGGGGCCAACCTTGGGCCCTCTCATTAGCGTCACAAAGACTCCCATCCCTCAGGAAATTCCAGGAGTTTTGAAACTTTCTAACAAGAACGAAGAGCAAATGTATTCTCATCTAAGTCAGCGACCTTCAGCATCTCCCCAGGGCTCTTCATCCTGCTCACCGCTGTCTCTTCATCTGAAGAATGAGGAGAGTGATACCCACTTGGCAGGACTGTCGTTCAGGTTAAGTGGTACTGGCTGTGTGTCTCCCAGGGTTTGTGGCAAGTAGCTGTTTGGTGAGTATCATCATGGCCACGAGCACTTTCGGTGACCACGTAGGAGCAGTCATGAGGTTACACACAGAGCTGTCCTGGAAGAAGCCCGGAAAATTTCTCAAATCTGCAGAGAATCACACCCTGCCTTTCTAAGTAGATACAGATTCTGTTTTCAGAAAACACTGTGGTCTGTAACAACTATTCTGCTTCTACTGCCCTCATTGGTTTCGTGTTTGCTTGTTGTAAACACTTTAGCTTACTCTCTGTAGACTAGGAAATAGGTCCTGCAGCATCACTGGGGTTTACCTGAATCCTCTCCCTCCAGACAGCACAGGAGCATTGCCTTTCCTCTGGGTTGTTTTCCGATCTCTATCACCTCTGAATTATTGACAATTGTCCAGATTCTTGGTTGTAAAACCCAGGACTGAGTAGAAGGCTGAGTTTAGCCAGTGGTGAAAACGACAGGAATATGGTACCTGTGTTGTCCCTTCCGGGGTCCCTCATATTGTCTTCCTTTCTCTGCCCCTGCCCCGTCCCTTTATCCCCCAGAGCAGACCCCTCTGCCTTGCCGCCTCCAGAAATCCAGAAGTAGCTGCTCTAGATCTTTCCCCTGTATGTATGCTGCCCTGGGACATTGGTTGACATGTGGCAAATTACTACAATACTTCATGGCTTAAAATCGGCTTTTTTGCTTTGCCCACAGTTTTGTGGGTCAGGGACTCAGAAAGGGTTTGTCTGGGAGGTTCATCTCCGATCCACATGCCATCAGCTGGCATGGCCCAGCCAGAAGACCCCCTTCCCTGGCCAGCTCTGGCATCTCTATCCCCTCCTCCACTCATTATCCCTGTGGTTTCCCATGGGGGTTCCTCATTCTCCTTCTCACGTGACTGACAGGTTCCAAGAGACAGGGGTGGAAGCTGCCACGCGTCCTGAAGGCATTGCACCATCAGTAGACGGTGACAGGGAAGCTCAGATTCAAGAGCACGGTGGGGTGGGGGTGGATGTGAAAAACTCGGGTCACTTGAACTCTGTCCTTTTTTCTGTCCTCACATTCTCTGCTTCATCCAGCACGTTGTAGCCCCATCTTTCCATTTGGTGTTGAAGATCCATCCTGTCGTGTCATGTTCTTTAATTTCTCAGCAGATTCACTCCTTTGTTCATCAAATATTTATATTGGGTTTTTCCCATATGCCTGGCCCTACTGAGCTTTGGGAATTCAAAGGCTAACAGAAAAATTGTTTATGTATATGTGGATTTTGGACTGGGGTGCTTGGGGTAAATGATAAAAGGGTGGGAGGGTAGAAGATGAGTGGTAGTTGGAGAGAGAGAGGCTGAGATATTACAGTCCAGGAAGGCTTCTTTAGAAGTGGTCTGTGAGCACATGGGGCACAGCGGGACGAAAGCATGTGCTCTGGGGGTCCCAGACAGACCAGGTTTGGCCACTCGCCACTCACAAAACCAAAGGCCAGAAATAGGGAGGCAGATGTTGGAGAGACAGGAAAGGAGTTTATTTCCAGGAGGCCAACACTAGGAAGCCCGCAGACCAGCGTCTAAGACGGTCTCCAAAGTGCTGAAAATACCTCCAGGTTTGCCTAAGACAAGTGTGAGGCAAAGGTCGATGGGTCCCTGCAGGTGGGCAGTGGAGGTCAGGACGCTCATTGTCTTGAGGTCAGTCATGGGTGGGGTCTTGCTGGCAGCAGGGCAGTTCCTATTGCTTGAGGGGGTAGTTTCGGTTCCCATCAAGGGATACTCTGCCTTCTGGGTTTATTGCCTGAGTTAAGAGATAAGCTGGAAAGAAGAGCTAATCAGAAAGTACAGACTGGGGGATCCCTGGGTGGCGCAGCGGTTAGCGCCTGCCTTTGGCCCAGGGCACAATCCTGGAGACCCGGGATCGAGTCCCACGTCGGGCTCCCAGTGCATGGAGCCTGCTTCTCCCTCTGACTGTGTCTCTGCCTCTCTCTCTCTCTCTCTCTCTCTCTCTCTCTCTGTGTGTGTGTGTGACTATCATAAATAAATAAAATTTAAAAAAAAAAAGAAAGTACAGACTGAGGTCAGAATGGAGGTGGTTGACATCCTCTTTCACATGAACCCAGAAGATGTGAAAGATGGAGCCATGTAGAGTCTGGGAGGAGAGCGCTGCAGGTAGATTGAGCAGTCAGTGTGAGGATGAGTTGCTATGTTGCAGAACCAGCCCTGAGGCAGGGTGCCTGGAAGAAGACCAGCAGGCATAGGGGAGAAGATAGGGGCCTTGGAGGCCACAGAATGGGGCCTATGGTCTGCTGAGATGGGAAGCTGTGGGGGATTTTGGGTGAGGAAGTGGTACTACCTCTTTTTTCTTAAATATTTCTATTTTTATAAAATACATGATGGGACTTTTGGTTTTTTATTCTGTATTTGGAAATAATTTCAAGTTCGCAGGAAATTATAAAAAGAGTGCACAGGGGTTCCACATACCTAGTTTATCTTCTTATATTTTGTGTAACTGTGGCATGTGCATCAAATCAGGAAACATGTCTGTGTTATGTGTATTTCTGTGCAGTTTAACACAGGTGTGGATCCCTGTAATGACCACAGCAGTCAAGATGAGATCTGTTCCATCAGCACAGAGGTCCCCCTCATGTTGCCCTGGTCAGTAACACCCATGTCTATCCTCTACCTGTGACTCCCATCAGCCACTTACCTGCTGTGTTGCCTACATTGTGTCACTTCAAGAGTTTTATATAAAAGGGATCAT